GGAGAAAGCAGCAGAAAATAGGGGTTTTTCGTCTTTCTTTTTGACAATTAGGACTTACTAGTATATGATTTTATTTGTATAATATTATACATTGTATGTTATTTTTGTGTTGATGTGCTATGTGGACAAAACATTTCATAACAGTCAAACCGGTTGACGTAGTAAAGGTATATGTTGAAAAAACTTAAATTAAACATTAAGTTCAAACGAAACGTGTGTTAAAAATAAATGTTGTAATAAATCTGATATAAATTGAGAACACGACCAACAGATGGTCAGTGAAGAATCGTCACTTAGGTTGACATAAGTTTTTGATTTGTTTTTGTTTAAGTAAAGTGATATCTTCTGATACCAAAGTGTGGACACAATGTGGCTTTATTCGAAATCTCGTGCTCTCTTGGCGACGGTTGTTTTCACAAACTTCTTGGACTACCTTCTCTTAACGGCTGTTGGTAAGAGATATCAAATTATATTTGTATATATAGGCTATATTTTACCGATGATGAATATTTCTTAAAATTTAATTGAATGGGTTAATTTTGACTTGTTTACTTTTATTTACCAAACTTCAAATATTATAATCAAAATGATAAAGAAAACATGTACAGTAAACTCCGCTTATAACGAACTCACTGGGACATTCAAAATCTGTTCCTTATATCCGGACTTCCTTGTAAGCATATAGCGAATTAGTTCCTTGTATCAGAAGTTTTTATAGCGAACAGATTTACATATAACGAACTGGGTGTTAAACATCGTCAGCAATTTTAAAGAGCATTTGATTAAGAATAATTAGCCATTTATTTCTTTTTTAGACACATACCCGAGAGCGTACATTTTGGAATTTGAAAATCCTTTGCTATTTCAGTTTTAGTTTTACCCCCTTTCTCAATTTCTCATAAAATATCATATTTTGTTTCTTAACTCAGTGCTTTTCGTTTTCTTTCAATAAATAAGAATAAACAAGTTTCCATTTTTCTTCCTTTTATATTGACTATCTTCTATTATGTTTTAAGGGTGACTTTTACTAATGAAATATATAGATTTCTTTTCATTTCAATCAAGCATACTTTGTAGTTTTCTTTGGATTAATATGTTTGCAAGCATGCGTGATTATGTTGAAAACCGATTATAAATGATCATAATTATTTTACTCGAGCAAAACTATTAAAGGAAAGAAATAATAGAATAAAAAGAATAACCGTCAATAACTCATGCTAAAAATATACTAAACAGAAAACTATTACATACTTCTATACAAATTCATTTTCATAGATATATTGAATTACATACAACAATAAACGGTACATTCCACGAGTTTTAATCCGTGCCAATGAAAACGATAGTTGAAAATGCGGGATATATTTACGAATAGCCGATATTTGGAGTTCGTTATAAAATTGTAATGTTCTGCACATTTAACTAAATTGGGACCAAGAAATGAGTTCCTTATAAGCAATAACTCCTTATAAACGTGTTCGCTATAACCGTTTACTTTTATATTAAAAATAAAGAAGGGCAAAATTCAGGCCAAAATAAATTGTTCCTTATAACCGGAAGTTCGCTATAACCGTGTTCGCTATAAGTGAAGTTTACTGTATATGTTAAAATGTAAAAATTAGAGTAAGCACTGCACAACGTAACAAACGATATTTCAAAATTTGCTTGTAGTTATACAAAATTTAATGGCAGTAATGCAAAGCAAAACACATGTTCTGTCATTAGTAACTATCCGGCTCTGCAACTGATTCTATAATCTAGCGACCAGTGCAGACCAGTATCAGTCGGCAAACCCGTGTCTATTGTTTATGGTCTGCACTATTCAGTCAGTATATATGTTTGAAAATTTAGCTTGAAATGACCAGTGGTTTTGCCCACATTGAAAGATGGACAAGTCCATTTTAGAAGTTTAGCGTGATTAAGATTAATTTACCATTCTTCCCTTTGGTTTGCTTTCTGGTGAGTTTTCACAACTTTTATGAAATAATACACACTTTAAATTTAACGAAATTGAGATGCATATTGCTTTATATTGTTCATAACCGGTGATTTTAATCATTCTGTTTAAACTGCAATGCCTTCAGATGATTCAAAATGTTTTCAGAAAATCAAACTTGAGAAAAATGTACTAAGAACTTAAGAAAAGATGCAAGAAATAATTTCAATTATATGTTAAAAGCGATTTTTTTGATATGATTGATTTTACAGTATCAATCACCATAATATATTCCTACTGCGTGACTCACACAGTTAGGGCTATTTTTGCATATCTTTTACTCCTTTTTAGTTAATTCACGTAGACAATATAGTGTCGTTTGCGATGTATAAATTGCTTTCTTCGTTCATTGCAAAATAATTCTATTTCTAATTAAATACATTTTAAAATCTTCATGAAAATTAGACTGAATCTCCAGACACGCTGCTTTAAATTCATGTTTTCTATCAACTAGTGCCAATTATTCCTGATTTTCTGGTGAAGGAGGATAATAAAGAGATTGAATCTGAGACAATACAAAATCTGACCTCGTTAATGGACAACATGACGGACTTTATATCCATGTTCAACATGACGACGAGCAACAACATAACAACAGAAAGGTCATTCTTTGAAAGGGTAACGTTTTGTTGCTTTTTTAATTGACTTTTTTGTTAATATTTCACTTCAAATTGGTTTCTAAACATAATCTAAGAACTAAGTGTATTCCATTTAATATGCAGAATGTATTTTAGTTCGATTGTGTATGAACCATATATAATTTCTATTCTTTGATAATTCTTAATTCATATATAAAATGTACAAATACATGTATACACATGCTAGATGTTGTTGTTGTTGGTTCTTTTCTGTTGTTATTTTTCTCCCTGGAGGAGAGCAAATAAATTTGTGTATATAAAAGAATATCAGCAACCTGTATTCTGGGATCACTTTGAAACGCGGAAAATTTGTTGTGCAACAAGTACATTTATATAATTATACTTTAAATAGTGCATATTATAACGTTTTCACAATTTAATCATATTTAAATTTCCTTTTTTTTTCTGCATTTTATATATTTCGGTTAATAATATTTAGTCATGTAGTACATGTAATATAACGTAGTAACATCTCGTGAGTATTTTTCCCTAATAAACAAAGATTTGAAAAAAAGTGTTTCAAATAATTCATCAAATTTTGTAACTCTATGATGACATAATATTTATATGTATAGAAAAACATGTCTCACCCTCATTTGTTTACAAAAAACAATTCCCTAATAATCAGAGATCTGCATTTTTGTTTTTCAAGTTTGTTTTGCATTACTGTAATTACCTCTTTAAGATGTTACATATACCTATCCGTGCTATCAACGAGAACAGTAAAGTTGGTTGGCTTTTAGGCTCAAAGGCATTGGTTCAAATAGTTGCTAACCCCATTGTCGGATACCTTTCTAACCGGTAATGTTTAGTTTGGTTTACACTTTATTAATAACGTTGCGTGTACCTAATATTCAGCCATTGGTCATTGTATACACAACTTTTTCTTTATATCTATAAACACCTTTTACTTAAAACATAATGAAACTGATGGAAGGAAATTTGTACACAATTTTTTTTTAAAATCAGCACTCCACCTTTAAGCTTCATGTATTGGAATCAGTACTAGTCTTGGTACTTTGCTTATATCTTAAAATACATAACTAATTTTAACCATTCTCTTCATAGAATGACAATTTAAAGTGTTTGAGTATAACTATGCAGCATGTAGAACAACTGAATTTTCAATCTATTATCATTATAATCATTTGTCATTATTATTATTTTTTTTTTTTATTACCAGTGTGAGTTACAAAAATCTTCTTCTTTTTGGAACTTCTATATTCCTGATATCATCGTCACGTAAGTTAGTTTATACGATTTTTTTTTAGTTCCATTTTGTTGAAATCTATAACCGTATTTAAACACTCTCGAGTTTGTGGAACAAACCACTACTTACTAACTTAGTAATGAGTGTAAATCAACGGTTTGCCCCTGACTGGATTAGAACCCACACGGCCAGCAATCGTTAGATTACTAGTGTGACGTGTTAACCACACTTACGCAAGTTATTTCACATATGACCAAAATAAATTCAGTAACACAGTTGTTTTTAATTAGTCCTTTTTGTAAGTTAAACATAGTTTGTTTCAGCCACAATAAATCTCGGACATGAATATATTATCTTTCTGTAGAAGGTGCATCCGTGTGTTAAAATTATCATGTTATAATGAGTAAGGTAGTTAAATTACCTAAAGGAAACAGTGTTGAATGTAAAACCTTTAATGATAAATATGTTAGTAAATTTTTAACACAGTAAGTTGCATTCCATTCACAATTTTTAATCATTATAAATTTACTTATTTATTACCAAAACGAACAAGAATAGGAAGATGATTAAGATACAGGGCAAATAAACAACTTTCTGGAAGGTATACCAGGGTACAAAACCTTTATTTGTTCTGAAAATAAAGAAAATGATATATTTGCAATTTTGATGCTAAATGGGCCTTTATACGATAAAAATTAAAGCAACGCTAATTCTCAAACAAATCAGTTATACAATCTAGGAGCGTTTGGCAGAAATATCAAAATGGTCATAATTCTGAAGCACAAATAGTACTATTTTTATAAGGCACTTCAGGTAACAATGTCTATAGGCCTACTGTATATAATTTGTTTTTGATATCAGGTCAGTAACCTGATATGAAAGATAAGCCCTACCCATTTAAATAACGGACTTTTTTCAATTGCTTATATTCTTATTTTTATCAGCATGTGAATTCTACAATTTTATCTCATACTGGCATACCCTTACTAGTATTGAATCAAGATGCGATATTTATTTATTTATTATTTCTATTTCGATTACAAGTACGAATAAATTAGATCACCAACAAAATGAAGTGACGTCATAATTTATATTGTAAGTGACATCATCAATTTCCACGTCATATTATACATGTACAGTAAACATAACAAACAGTGCCGATTTCACTTTTCTTTGATTGAAATTATCGTGAACTTTTGAATGAAAAAGTGCAGTAGGCCTATTAAAAGTTTATGTGATTCTTAAGTTTTTTTTGGATCGATGTTTTAAAAAGGTAAAAATCTTATCGTCTTTCATTCTGATGTAGATCTAGATCTTTTATCCACAGGAACTTGAAGGTCTATCAATATTAATGAAAATTATCCAAAATGTACCCCCTACAGTATACAGTATAAATAAACACTGTGTTTATTTATACTGTATAGGGGTATATTTTGGATATTATCATTAATATTGATAGAATTTCAAGTTTCTGTGCTATTATAACAGGAAATAATCTAGAGTCGAAAGAAAAAAATGGCCACCATTTACAAATTCTAAGTTTCAGTGGCGGATGAATATGTTTTCCAGATATTTCTACAAAATTGGCAATTTAAAAGTTGATTAATTTGTAATTTTGACAGTTTTTATGTGTTGCATGATAAATAGAAAACCATGCTAGAAAAGCCTAGATCTACAGTAGGCCTACTGTCTTTTGATATCGATTTTATCAGGCTCGGCTAATAGTCGACAAGCCTCGCCATTTTCTAGCCCATATCAGCCTTGCCTGATAAAATTAATATCAAAAGAAAGTACTTAACATGTTATTCTCTATGTCTTTTAATTTATTTTAACATTCACAGCATAATTATAATAAATCAACTCAACTATTTCAGGGATTTTTTTGGCTGATTTTATAGCCGTTATTGCATAGGTCATATTCCCAATTTAAATAATAAAAATATTGAATTAAATTCTAAAATCTTTGCAAATAAGGGCTTCTTCACTGTAATAGTGCTTAAGTGTTTGAAGATGCCATTCTAGACAGTATTTGTTTGCATCCATTTAATCACTGCAACATTTCAGTCATGCATTTTCCCCCCAATTTTTTAACAAAACACCGCTGAAATTCCTAATTCCATGGGTATGGGTCGTCTTCCCAAAATCCTGGCAAAAAACCCTGACTATAAAAATTTTAAAAGTTACGTCTTTGGCTATTTATAAGTAACGTTACAAAATTGATAATATGCGAAAATAATGTGACAAAATAAAGCCATACTTTGTTATTTGGACATTAAGTTACACAGCTTCAATTTCAGTATTTGCCATTGCGGAAACATTTTTGCCTCTGCTAGTGGCTCGTGCATCGCAAGGCATTGGATCGGCCGCCACCACCATTGCAGGTGTGTTATTCCATTTCGTTTTCAGTTTCATAAATTATCTAATTATAAGATTTCTATAAATGTAGCTTTATTCCTATTTTGAAAGGTAATGATATAATGTTATAAGAATAAGCAAATAAATATTCATTGCTGGTATACATGTTAGTTTTGCATATGAATAAAGGTTACATTAATTTATAAATTTTGAGACTTATCTCTCTTTTAAAATTTAACATTACTCCCCCACCCAAATTTTACTTTTGAAGGATAGGGCATAACAATATGTATGGATTTAAATAATTTAATATACAATTTGTTAATTCATAAATAACAACAGTGGTGATTCGAATGAAATTTCCAGTGTTTGTGTCACCCAGTGTTTTTTTTTCACCAAAATATTCGGCGAAATTCTCCCCATTCCCCACTCAAAATAGTATGTTCCCCCCCCCCCCCCCAAAGCTGAAATTTCCCCCTATAATATGGCAGCCCAAGTTTGCCTGCAATAAATATCATTTTTTTGCAACTAACTGCTGAAAAATGCTTTATTTTATGCCTGTAAGACTTACTGTTAAGCAAGGTTTTTCATATAGGTAAGGGGAGCTACTCCTGGTATCCCAACAAGTTTATTATGTGACACATCAATATTTTAGATCCGTATAAAAATTCCCCTCCTATTGCATTTTTCCCCCTCCAATGGGCACCGACCGCCTTCCCCCAAAAGTGAAAAAAAACACTACACCCTTGTATAGAACTTCATGAATGAGTCCTGAACGAAATGCAAGAATAAAATAGTTTCTGTCATGTTAATTTATTTATTTATTTGTTTATCAATAGTATTATTATTATTATTATTACTACTACTTTGCAGGTATGAGTCTTATAGCGGAGAGTTATACAGAAGATAATGAACGCAGTAGAGCTATGGGGATTGCGATGGGAGGCTACGCACTTGGAATTCTAGGTTCGTAATTAACGTTTAGGAACTCCATTGACATTTCTTTAAACATGGCAGGCCCATTTTAATAATTTTTTTTTGACATGGCAGGCATGGAAAGACTTTTGCTACCTTTACAAGAATTGTACACCATTAGATGTAGGTCTGAATCTATAACCTGAGTGCAAAATGTCGGATCTTTCGCTCACAATGTTTTTTCCATAATAATGACTTATTATCTGCAGGTTTTTTTTTTCAATTTTGGGGAAAAGGCCTGGCCTTTAAGTAGGGGGAAAAAGGCGTGACAAGTAACATTTTTGGGGAAAAAACCCTTGTATTATAAATTCAAAATAAACAATAGAATAGAAGTTTGACAACTATCCAGAGATTCAGAGTCATAGTACCAATTTAACAATATCAAGATGCTTAAAAAGTTAAAATTAAGCAACAAAGCCTGGACAGACTGCATGAATGTGTTGGCTGGCCTGGTTAATACTGGTGGCCTAGCCAAATCATGATATCACAACTAGCATGATTAAATAATGTTCACAGGTTAACAAGTTAACTGTCTTATATTTCCATTTACACCCATTGATGTTGTATTATAACTTCAAAATAAACAGTAAAAAGTCCAGTGACTCAACAGTCATACTAGTCATAATTTAAGAGTTATAGAGCCATCTTCCTAGCCCTCAATTCCCTGAACTGATCAATCAGTTCTTCCCAGTTGGCATCACTTAAGTTACCCTGGTTCCTACACTGTGTGCTTATCCTCATTAAAGCATCAAGTGTATCTTGTCCTAAAGTCCTTTGACTTGTGGCAATGTCATTCATTAGTAAAAAGCCACGTTCTCCCACAGCTGTAGATTGTGGGATAAGCATAGCTAGACTGTACAGGGGCTGAATAAGTGGATAGGCTCGTCTAGTGGTGGCATCTTACTGAAGTTTACTAAGTACTGCCCCAACAGTATTGCAGCCATTCTCCCTGGAAGATACAAATGTATTTCTTCAATGATGTTCATCCTAAACATAGATTGGAATCATAGGGACAGTCCATTTACTTTAAATAACTTGAACAATTATTTATATTTAAGTTGGTTAAACCACACTAACTTTAAAATTAAAACATTTTTTTCATGTAGACAGAAGGCTTAAAACTTGATAAAGTATAGAGATAACATGTTTGATATTAAATCATGTGCTATTTCATTTTGATAATACATATGGAGTCTTTCTAATTTTGAACATAATTTGTTAAGACTTAAAGAGTATTAATTTAATAGAATACAATTTATTTCTTTAATTAAAGAACACCTTTAGCACCTGTAATATATATATACATGTATATGCATGGAATAAACTAAAATATCAATTGAAATTGCAATCAGAACATAAAATAAAAAATCCAGAACTAAAATCAAACACTAAATTATATAAAAAAAACAAAAAAACATTAGAGTATCACATCACAATTCATAGAATTTATTAAATATTAAGGTAATTCCAATCAATAACTGTCATCAGTCTATGATCATTATGTATTTACCCTATATTTCATAAAATAATAAAAATTAGTAAACAAAACTCTAGGTCAACAAACAAACAATACAGAAACTAGCCAAATTTCTCAACAGTTTACACACTAACTTGTACATAAACAGTTGTCTCCTGAAGTCTAGTATTTGTGAATATACCACTGCAGAGCTACCAAGCTCTGGATGGGCAACTGTTCTATGGCCCTCAAACACATCAACTTTCTCTGACCCATAATAATCTGACAAGACCCTTGCTTTGTCCTGCAAACCATTACATTCCACACAGAATGTTAAAAGCATACCAATCAAATGAGGTTAGAATGAAGTCAAAATCTGTAGTATTTTACTTTCCAAAGAAAACAGGTAAAATGATGAAGTTAAAGTCATGATTTCATTTTCTTAAATATGAAGGTAAGTAACAGGCTAGGCTACTGCTGCTTTTACATACCTGTCCATAGTCTGTGATGTCAGCTATGTCTTGGGGCAAATTGCTTGGATGAAGTACACTGAATGCATCTAGGACTGCATCATTAGACGTAAAATGCATCCTCAACCTCTGTGATGAGATTATAGATCAGTGGGATCCCATGGACTTCCAAAAAACCTACAAGAAAATGTTACTACTGATTGTTGTACTGATACAATTTATCATCTTTTCAAAATACAGCATTACATTTTATGAATTATGTACAATATTTACCTGCAGGTGTGACTTCAGCTGCATGAGATCTGTTCCTCCTGGCAAGCATAGCCCGATCATCAATAATGAAGAACAAGTCTTCACATTTGCTGTAAAAAATAAATATTTTACAAGTTTTCATTGAATTTGTATTAATATACATTAGCACAAAGCAGGAAGTACCTTCGATTATTTGGCAATTACCTTAATTGATAAAATGTAAGTAGGATAATCATTGCTTTACCTGAACTCTAGCCCTTCATAATTGCCTTGTCTATATTGCTGGATGATGGCTTCAAGGTCATCTCTACATTGCTTAACACGTGTAGGCAGCTCTGAAACAACACCACAATCTTCCTGCAGATACAAAGAAAGGTAGTTGATAGGCTTAAGCACATCAGTCAGCACAAGAATCATGGCCACGTTTTGCTTTCTGGTCATGCTACTCCTAATGCCACGCATTTCTGGTTCATGTGTGCTTTCTATCAAGCTGTCCATTGTATCCAGCAAGGTTTCATAACGAGCTTTAAATCTGACGCAGGCATGCAGGTGTGACAGCCACCTACAAAACAGGTAGAACAAAGGTCACGCAAAGATTTTTCTGGTAGTTCATTTAATAACAGTAAATTAGAATTCATAAACCATTCTTTTTTATTTATTATTTACCTTGTTGTTGCTGCTTTGACCATGTTGATTGGGCGCTGGCCATAAACCTCTTGAAAACTTTCAAAAACAGCAGCTTTCTTTGGGGAGAAGTGGAATGTCTTCCATATGGCAAGAAGCAATGTATCAACATCTATTAAGATGCTATTATTCTTCAGGAGGTGTACAAAACAAAGGGCAAGTCTATGATTGCGACAGTTGATATAGATGCACAGTGGGCTGACATTCCGAATTCTTCGCTGAAGTCCTATTAAATTACATAAAAATATGCCTTTAAACTTTGAATAATGTAACTTAATGTGTCATTTAAACTAACAGTCATCGAATTTAGCACTGGCCCGGTGGCCCATGGACAGGGCCAGTGAAAAGTATAAGAAAATTTAGTCAGATATGTAGTAGAATAAATTCAAAACTGGAATTCTGGCTAGTAAATTCAAAATCTTAAGTTCATTGACTGAACTAAACACATATGAGTGACAATTAATAAAATTTATATACTAACTGTAAAATAAAACTTTGAATTAAAAGCTGAATATCATTACATCTGATTAGTTACCTTTGTTACACCCACTCATAGTGTTGCACCCATCTAGTCCCACGAACCTGACATTTTGGAATGGGATCATTTTGCCCATCAAGAACCTTTCAATTGCCTCCATCAGAGCTTCACTTGTTGTCCGTTCCTCGTGGATGAGGCCTAAGTAGTCTTCTCTTGGTCCGTGTGGGGTGATCCATCTTGCAAAGACTGACAGCTGGGTTCTGTTGCTTTGATCTGTAGATTCATCTGCTAAAAGAGTAAAATTTTCCTCCCGTAACTGTGTCAGTGTTTTTTGCTCAAAGAAATTACTCAGAACTTTTATAATGTCTGAAACAGAAGTACTGGACAGGTAGGTGATCGAGTCTTCAGCTAAAACTGACTTAATGTCAGCATCACAAGTACGGCCCATAAACTTAACCAAATCTTCCATGTTACTTTGAGCCCAATTTTTTTCACAAAGAAATAGGCAGGATTGGAACAGTTTTTTAATGTAGCGCCTGTTTCTTTCTACCATTTCCTTATCTTATAACTTGCTCTTCTGTGACAAGAATTCAGGAATGGTTTTAATTGAACATTTAGAGTACATTGAAGCAGCTGTTTTGTGTCTGTCTGAATTTTCGTGAATTTCCAATCTTCTAGAAGGATGTGTACCCAATATTGCGCCAGCTGACATAAGGGGTGGATTTATCATCACATAAAGAAAACAGTTTACACATATACCCCCGTTTAGTTTGACTATAATACACCCAAGCAAATCTGGCCTCATAACGAGCTGAGTGAAAGAAACGACTGTCGTGCTCACTGGTTCTTGACTTCTTGTTAGGCGGGGATGAGGGACTTACAAACTTCATCTGCACAGTGGGTACCGATAATCCATCTCTGTCAACACGGTCACAAACTGGTTTATCAAGACTACCTGTAACTGGCTTGTCAACACTCTCTGGTTTGTCCACACATTCCATTGAAACTCTAAAAATATGTCAAAACAAACACAATTATGTATGTTGTAATAATTAAAGGATGTAACTGAAATTTTATGTAAAAGTACCTATCAGGTTTCATTCAACACAATTTTTAACAATGAAAAAATTGGTGCAACAAATACGTATTAACACTATAAATGAGATTTAAAAATAATACACATATTTTTAAAAATTGGCCAAGATTAAAAAAAAAATCTATTTACATCCCTTTACGGACATGAACTTTAAAATCGGTCTTATTATTTGTTTATAGTGCTGTTTTAAATTATGATATTTGATAATTCTTCATTTGAGCAAGTATAAATATTAGGTTACCATATATCACATGATTATAAAAAAATGCAGTATCAGTCACATTGAGCCTCAAATTTCATACTTTAAATGCATTATAATAAAAAAAATACAATAATTAACTTTTCTGAACACTTTAATCAAAATGCACTTACGCATTGTCAACGGTGTAGTCGGGATCTGTTTCTGAAATTGGAGAGTGGGTGGGGTTATCATCGTCGATGAGACTCTCACTTTCGGATGACGTTGAAGCAGGCTCAAGTCCTGAATTTATGCTCGAGTCAAGAATAGCGCTACTTGACTTGTGGAAAAATGATATAATACTTTTTGTACCATCAGGAGCTTTTTTAAAAAATTTTTGACGTAGTATCTGCTATTATGAGACATCGCAAATAATTCGTAACAGTTTAAAGTCCGGACGATCCGTACGGTACCGGTCCGCATTTACATCTCGTGATCAATCTATCAAATTATTGATTATGACATCGTAATTCAGTCAACATTGTCGTCTTATAAAAATGCAAGCTTGTAACGAGTTCAAAAGAGAAAAAATAAACGTTTATTACAATTCAGAAAAATCGCCGAATATTTTTGGAGTGGTAGTTGATACAGGGCGCCGGTCTTTACACTGACTCTCCGCGGAAACGGAAATAGTCATTCAATGACATGTATATTCTACATGTAAACAACGGATGGCGATTTGAAAGAAAATGCGATTTTTAAGGGAAAAAAAAACATTAGTATATAATTATATTTTTTTTTTTTGCAGCTCGAGGGGAATTTTTCAGCTCGAGGGGATTTTTTTTCGGGTGGGGAAGTAGCCGTTAAACGGCTACAGTTATATAGCAAAAAAACAACCTGATCTGTTTATTATAAAATGACTCACCAATGTAAGTTAAACGTTTTTAATATGTTCTTAAACAAAATATTATGCTGTTATTTCAGGTAGGATTTTAAGCGTGCACCAGTTTGTATTAAAGGAAACATGCAAAACGTTAAATGAGCCGCGTCACGACAAAACCAACAAAGTGCGTTTGCGACCCATTATGTTGGTTTTGTCATGGCACGGCTCAAATTTAATCATTTCACATACATGTGTAATCAATTTGGAAGTATTATTTTTCTTTTCTTCAAAACTCAAATGTCTATTTTATTCTCTTCAGGCATCGGGTATAATATCTTTGCACACTTTAAAACCCAGAAATAAAATGAAAGTTAATTGTGCTGGTGTACAAGTTTTTCTTTAGGTTAGACGTAAGCTTTATAATGTGTAAAAATTGTTTTAGAGCATGTTATTTGCTAACTACCAGCAGAAGAAGTGCTGACTATGAAATTGTTTTCGTCATAAAGGTAGCAAAATATAAACAAAGTTATTGTTATATTTTGACTTTCTTCCAAAACAGTCAATCCATATAGTTTTACTAATTCCAAAAAAGGAAAAGAAGCAAAAAATGGTTCAAGTAATTGACCAGTTAGTAACTTTTTGGGAACTAAAACAGGACACCAAAATAAATAAAAAAAATTGAAATAACAATTAAAGCATTTCAGAGGCATAATACGCCTTCAAAGAATGTTTTACCATTTTACTGTACGTGCTTTTTCTCCAAAAGGAATGTAATTGTATACAACATTGCACTTGTGTATAATACAATGTACTGTACTATATCAAGACATTGACCGGATAATTTAATTATCCACTCGAGTCCATTTTCTTTCCATTTTACGAGATTTTATCACAAATAAGCAAGAGACTGGAACAAAGAGAAGATATGCCCTTTAGTGTTCGCTCACACTATCAATCATATTGTTTATATGTGCTATGGAGTCTTTTATGTACTTTCCTATATAAATTGAGGCAAATTTGATGGTTATTTAAGAGCTAAGAGACAATTTTAAGTTATAAGATATTTGTCTAGATTTTATATGAATTTTCACCTAATTTCCAAGTTTTCAGCAGAAGCCATGGTGTAGGGTGGTGTAGGGTGGTGTACCCACTTTCTCAATAGGGTTAGCATAGCATATTTAATCCAGGGGTCACTAGTTTGATCCGCCGGACATGTGTAATTTTTGTCCGTGAGAATTGATCTCTGACATTGAGTGCAATGGTCATTTGTGTCTTACCGCTTATCAGAAATCATGTTGACTTTGTAGCAGGAAAGGTAACTTGTAACATGCGGCGGAAAAGGTAATTACTGGTTAGTTAGTCATCTAGAAGAGCAGATTAAGTTGATCTACCGCCAATATATGATCACAAATGTGTTAAAGATCGGCGTTAAGGTAGAAAAAATAACAAATAAAAAATGAAAGTGTAGTTATAGACAGGACTGATTTTAAGAAAATATGAATGCTAGAGGCATTTTATAGTACAAGTTATATCTTGAGTGTTTGAACCTAATATGGGTATGCTGAAGACGATGAGGGTGGATACCAAGTAAATAGAATTGACCTTGACCTTCAAAAGGTCGATTCAAAATAGCCGCTTGAAAATACTGAAATAGGTCATTAAAACTATCATAATGACATAATATGATGCAATTAATTATTCTTGTCAAAATCAAAATTAATGATTATTCAATATGATCAGATTTTAATGAGATTGGCCACCAAATTTAGCGATTATAAGCATAATGGCTCAATTAACAGTTATATACAGTACTGTTTTACTAGCGCGTTAAGGTATAAGACTAAGATTGAAATGTTTTAATGATTTAAAAAAGATTTAATGTTTTGTTTACTTGACTTATATTTAACAATAAACTTGGTTTATAAATATTACCAAAGAATAAATATTTCGTAATAACAAATTAATATTTCGTAATTACGAAATAATATTTCGTAATAACGAATCAATATTTCGTAATTACGAAATATTATTTCGTAATAACGAATCAATATTTCGTAATTAAGATTTTATATTTCGTTAAAACGAAATAATATTTCTAATTGGGAATTATTATCCCGTAAAATCGAATTCAATTTAGTGAGAAAAATGTGGAAAATGTCACTTCAGGTGTTCCGTAATTTTCAACATTATTTGTAGCTATGATTTTGTTAAGTTGTTCATTTTGTTTTCATATATTTTGCACTTATTATGGTATTTATGGTTTAAAATAAATATTTAAAAAAAAAATTGAAATGTCAAAAAATGTTATTTCAATACCATAAACACAACACAAACCGAAACAAAAAATGTTTTAAAATATATACTGCGCCCCCCCCCCCCCCCCCCCAATAAAAAAACAAAAAAAACAAAAAACAGGTTTTAAAAAAGGCAACAGTAGGAATCGAACTATAGACCTCTCATACATCAGTCAACCGGCTGTGCTACTACGGAAGTAACGATGACGTTTACATTTTTAGCAGATATGACTTTCACTTATATAAGTTTTATAGTTTTTTTATTTTATCCTTTAAATGGATTACTGATTTATCCATGAAAATTATATTTGATAATTTAACAGTAAAAATTATGAAAATATAATTTCACACTTTTCAATGACAAAATTACTTTCTTAAGATTTTCCCCATGTGGTACCTCAATTTTATTTTTGCTGACAATTCTGACAATGTCAGGCTGTTTCGAGAAAAGCAAAGCTGAAATTGATAAATAACTTAAATGTCAAAAGTAATAAAAAGAAGAAAACTTACTTCTATTCATCTTAATTACCAATCAGGCAATATCGTCTCTTAATTTTTTGTTTGTTTTATTTTTACAGTCTGAAAAATACATTCCTTCCACATGCAAAACTGCTCTTGATGACATTTGGGCATATTTAAGTTTACCATCTTGTTTAAAAATAAGTGACTATTTAATTTGAAATTTAAAGTTAAAAAACAACAACAACAATAACAACACCATATTTTTCATCGAGTCAGAAAATGTCTGAAACCGGGAGATTGCTACGTGTGTTTGCTATACCATGGCAGCTCTCGAAAATTTTGGAATTCAGTCACGGTTTTGAGAAAATTCTACAAGAAGATTATCACATCATTCCGGGTACCCTCCAAATAAATTTCCAGGATATCTTTAAAGTAACAGCAAAGTTATCTATACAAAATATTACTTGTAAAAAAATAGAGTAATATTTTCTTTGACCATATATAAAAGTCACGTGGGTTGGCTACATAGTAGAGGTGTTAAAATATAATTGTAATACACCTTTTGTTAGCCATTGAAATAGTATTTTATGTATAAAGGATTTTCAAAAATGGTTAATATTCAGGGCGGGCGCAATGGTGCAGTGGTAACACTATCTGCCTACAAATCAAGGGTCGTGAGTTCGATCCCCCGCTACTCCACTGAACGAATAAATGACTACAAGACTGACTAAACCAGGACATAGACACAGAATGACGGCAACGAAAGAAACCAGAAAAGACCTTTACGGAGCAGGAAACAAGTACCGAAAGTACAAGACCGAAGACGACGACCGATAACAGAAGGAAGACCGGAGACAAGAACTGACAACAAGCGAACAGAAACGAGGACCGCTAATAGAGACAGAGACCGATAACAGAAGTACTGACAACAAGCGAATATATACGTCCACCGATAGAAACAAGAAAAGACCTTAACGGAGCAGGAAACAAGTACCGAAAGTACAAGACCGAAGACGACGACCGATAACAGAAGGACCGCGAACAGAGACAGGTACATTGTACCGATAACAGAAGAAGTGACAACAAGCTAACAGAGACGACGACCGATAACAAAATAACAGGACAAGGACCGATAAGCAAAGAACTGACAATAAGCGAACAGAGGACGTCGACCGATAACAGAAAAACAGAGACAATGACCGTTAACAGAAGTACTGACAACAAGACAACGGAGACGGGGATCGATAACAGAAGAACTGACAACAAGACAACGGAGACGAGCATCGATAACAGAAAGCTGATGACAGAAAAATAGAGACGAGGACTGCTGACAGAAATGGAGACGGGGATCGATAACAGAGACGGAAACCGATGACAGAAGAATTGACACCAAGAAAACGGAGACCAGGACTAATTACAGAAGAAAAGAGACGAGAAACGATGACAGAAATAACGGAGACCAAAAGACGAGAACCGATAACAGAAAGAACGAAGACGACGACCGATAACAAAAAAAACAGAGACGAGAAACCGATGACAGAATGACAGAGAAGAACAAAGACGAGAACAGATAACAGAACAGGACAGGGACCGATAACAGAAGAACTGACAACAAAACAACAGAGACGAGGATTGATAACAGAATAATATAGACGAAGACTGATGACAGAAGAATAAGACGGGGATCGATAACAGAGACGGGAACCGATGACAGAAGAATTGACAACATGAAAACGAAAACACAGGACTGATTACAGAAGAAAAGAGACGAGAACAAATGACAGAAGAACGGAGAAAAACGAAGACGAGAACCGATAACAGAAGAACGAAGACGACGACCGATAACAGAAAAGCAGAGACGAGAACCGATGACAGAATAACGGAGAACAAAGACGAGAACCGATAATAGAACAGGACAGGGACCGATAACAGAAAAACTGACAACAAGACAACGGAGACAGGGATCGATAACAGAATAATATAGACGAGGACTGATGACAGAAGAATTGTCAACATGAACACGAAAACACAGGACTGATTACAGAAGAAAAGAGACGAGAACGGATGACAGAAGAACGGAGAAGAACGAAGACCGATAACAGAACATCTAACAAGAAAAAAACTGACAGGACCGATTACAGAAGAACGAAGGTCACGACCAATAACAGAAGAACTGACAACAAGAGAACTCCGACGAGGACCAATAACGGAAGAACGAAAGACACGACATAACAGAAGAACTGTCAGCAGAGAAATGCGAAGAGAACCGATAACAGAAGAACGAAAGTCACGACCAATTATAGAGGAACTGACAGCAGAGAAATACGACGAGAACCTATAACAGAAGAACGAAGACGACAACCGATAATAGAAAAACGAACACCAAAACTCAAGAGTACTCAGAGAAATAAATTAATGTATATTTTGCATGCACACGTTTTAACCCCCCTCACACATGTAAAAGTAGGCATCTGAGTAGCCGCTCTATATGCTTTCATAGAGTCCCAGATAAAATACATGAAAACTCTATATCTAGCAGATAGGACAGGAAAGAGTGTAGTGTTCGCTGCGTAAATTGCCTTTAAGATTTCAGTACTATCTTTAATATTACTTCTATATTACAATTATATTGGCCTATTAGAAAAAATATCTTTGATTTTTCGGCCATATTGGATTGTTTTTTTACATGCTTTGTGACAAATTTCAGGCTTTTCCTTTCCTTAAAAGTTTTATTTGATCTATCATCCATTTATGATAAAGAAATTTGGCGGCCATTTTAGTGGTCATTTTAAATGGCCATTTCAATGGTCAAGATCATTTTTTTCAATTTGGTATCCACCTTTATCGGATTCAGCATACCTTAAACATGTAAAATACACCAAGATACCACTTGTACTACAAAATGCCTCTAGCATCTTATAAGGAGCCAAATTCTCAAAATCAGTGCTGTCTATTAAGCAGATTGTCATGGCTTTAAGCATGACAGACAAAGCCAATACTCATACTGTTAAGGTCTTGAATGGGGACAAAGGCCATCAAACATTATGTCCAAAGGACTTCCCTCCTATTATGATGTCATAAAATGGCTTATTTTTTGTAGTTGGATATCCCTTTGGAGGTCTATTGTACGCAGTATCAGGAAAAACAGCTCCATTTGTTGGAATATTTGTATTCTGTCTTATAAATATAGGTAAGTACCCGTAATATTAGTTACTATAGCTGACATATTATAATTATTATAATCTAATCTGTTTGTAATGAAAGTACACAGCCTCATGAATCCAAAAATAAGTAAATTTAAGTGTGTCAGGTTTATAATAATGTATACACTGAAACCTGTGTATAAGACCACCATAGAGACCATCTGGCAAGCTTTCATTGTATAGAAAGTACCTCCAGATAAAGTCCACTTGTTTACATCATGTTTGGTCTCCCCCACTTTGACTGTGTATATTAGCATCATCTTTGTAAATGACACTTTTTACTTTGAAATTTATAGGAAATTTAAATTTAAATCTATAACTGGCCTGTGCTGAATATTCAATCAAAAATTCATCAAAAACGGTTTATTATATGTTTTCATATGCCAGCAGTTATTATGTGGTTAGCAGTCTTTTTTTATTTCACATATTTAACCGGTAATGAACAGAATGATGTGTTTCCACATTGGCAGCTTCATATTTTAAGAACGTTTATTTAAATAAATCAAATGATTCACAAAAAAGCCTGACACAAAGGATATACTGATTAAATTAATCACATTTTCTTAAATATCTAAAAATGAGATAATGCATAGTGTTACAGTCTGTTTATTCTATATTATCTAGGTATACAGTTTTGGTGTCTGGATGACATAGCAGAAATTAACAAGGTATTTACATTTTGAACATAACCACCTGTTTCATTAGTAAGTGCCACTGACTTTCAATATATAATAGGGCCAAGTATTAACGGTCGTAACCTTTTTTTAAATGGGAGGAGGGATGTTTAACGTCGCAGAGATACTGTTAAGATCATAGCTTCACTGGTTGAGGAAGACCTCAGGTGCCTCTCTATGCATTATTCCGGACACGAACAGGCACCCGAGTACAACCACTGACGTACCGTAAGCTATCTGGATAACTTCATGGCATTAAAGAACTCAAACTCCCCGGCGGGATTCGAGACTACAGCCGTGTGTGGCAAATTGTTTGAAGCTTGAAAATAATACAGTGCATTGGTGAATGGTATATGCATCCTTGGTCCTCACACATCCCGGGAATAATGCGGACTTTTACCTTTAGATTTTCAAACACTGGCCAATTAGTAAAATGGCAGCTAAATGCATGTGCGCTATGCATTATTGTCTGCTTTTAGAAGATAAAACCATGTAGAAAACAACAGTTTAATCATAAAACTTATCACAAGTTTTTATTAGGACTTAGCACCGCAAAATTGCCTGATCTGGAAAAAAAAACCAAATATGCATGGAAGGTTTTGACTACATAAATTGATAATTATTACTCTGGCAATGAAAAGGGACAGTACTCTGCTTATACTTACTCGGTGTTTTTAGTAGAAGAGAAGCGCTACTTTTTTGACTATATTCACTTTGATTTTGTTAGTATTACCATTTGTTTTTTTTTGTTTCTTTCATTGGGGACACAGTACCATTTATTATGGATAAAATATGGCCGTAAAAACTAAATCAATTTTAATCTTAAACACGAAAAAATGTTTATGATCAAGCGTAGTGTCCAAACAGGAAAGATACATTACTCTTGTTTATACATAACGACATAATTATAATACTAACCGAGCCAGCATCATTTTCAATTTTGCCGGTTTTGGGACGTTCCTTTGTCATAGTTTTTCCCCCCTTTTTTATTCCAGGTACAAATGAAGTCTGCATCTCTTCATAGGCTTTTACTCGATCCGTATATTTTGTTATGCGCAGGTATGTCATTTCCGTTCCAGATGACGTCATATCATTTTAAACAGGGTTATTCAGCGTCCATGATTTGTTGATGCATTCGCCCGATTAAATTAGATCGTTTTTATGCCAAATTGCGAGTTATACTTAGATGCATATCATTCACAGATCAACTCCATCTGATAAAAATATCACAATAATTATTGTGCTGTGCACTGAGAGACACACAGTGACTGGGTGTTGCCTTTAATGGTTGAGACATAAATATGTTCGAATAACTAGAGTCTATGCAACTCTTCGCAGATGAGGTGGTTTTAATCCATGGTGTTGCTTTTAAGTTGTCGAGGCTAGCCAAAGTCATCATAGCAAAAGAAATAAAAGAACAGAAATGAGAAGCTAAAACTAAGATCTTCAAAGCAGTATAATTATGTATAGCAATGTTCTTTCACCATAACACTAGCAAAGAATCACCTGACTAATAAGTATTAATAATAAAAACAGTATCCTTAGGTAGATTAATAATTTAGGATATTGAGTATCCTAGAGATTCATTAGAAAACGAATATAGTAAGATAGCAGACTTGGTTTGATCGAGTATGTTCAGGAGAAAAATGCTATGTACACCCTGGTACCGCCTTAAGCGTCATTCATTGATCAATACGTGTATTGTCACTCAGTACACAATATACAATATTCAAACGTATAAAAAATCATATCAAATCAAATATGAAAACAAATAACTACGCTAAATAAATCACTTTATTAAACAGAATACATTCCATTCACCTACATATTTTTTTATTTAGGTTCATTAATGATAACCAGTATGTCATTGGCAGTTTTGGAATCTACAGTCCCTATTTGGGTAATGGACACCATGGGCGCCCAGCAATGGCAGCTAGGTAAGTGTAATAACTCTTCAACCTACTTCACTTCCGTGTTGTTTAATACATGTACATGTATTTCTAGTTCTTCGGGATCAGAACTATGATACCGGCATGTTTGTATTAAAAACTGAGTACCGCTTATGCCGCTGCTAGGGGGTGTGGGCGGTGCTAGGGGGTGTAGATTCTGCACTATTACATTACCTCTTCTGACAAGACTTAATCGAACCGAGTTTGCAATTTTCACTTGTTTTCATGGCTTCCGAGAAATAACCCGTTTTCCTAGAAATTCTACCTGTAGATTTTTTTTTCATTTTCCCAATGGCGAGAGTTTCAAAAAGAATTACTCATGCTACTGATAAATATGTACATTTTCATCAATCTACAGTGTAGTTAATACAAATTTATTTTATTTTGATTGCGTTGAAAGCTTATTGGAACACACGAATCTGTTCCTGGAACCAATTACGCATAGATTGTAAACTTGCTCTGCTCCTGAAAAGGTTTGAATCCGCCCGGTCAGCAATTCTGTAGATTACTAGTCCGACACGTTAACCACTCGGCCACGCCTGCACTCAGTTTGAAACTCTTTTATACTTCATATTTTGAGATTAAAATAATATATCTCAGCCGACCTGTGCGTTTGATAATTGTGATGTTTTATGTTAATATTAACATATGTACTTTATAGTGAATTATACATAGATCTACATGTATGTAATACAAATTTCTAACAAAATCAAAATTATCGTTTTCATTATCACCGTCGCTTTAATCATCATCATCATCATCATAATCATCATCATAATCATCGCCGTCATCATTATAATCATCTTCAACCCCAAAGTTATGATAATTATATGATTATGATGACAATTATCATTATAACTTCAGGACTTATATTCATACCGGACAGTGTTGGTTACCTGGTTGGAACAAATTCATTTCCAGTTATTGCAAGAAAATACGGACGGTAAATTTACAAATTTAAAACACAATGTATGCTTGATTTTTTTAACGAGTCGTTTTATTATTCAATACTGACTTGAAATTAAAATAAAAAAAAAATTAAATAAAAAAAACACTTTTATATTTTTATTTATAGGCACATTATGCCTCAGGAAACCATTTTTTATTCCTTAGAAATGTCAAACATGTGTAAAGTATGTTTCATTAATGGATTTAGAGAATGTTACAACTGAAGAAAGTAAGGCCGAATGCCAGTTATGATTCATAAAGGTAGGAAAATGTAAACAAAGTAGTATTTTGATACTTGTCTAATTTATTATAATAATGCCAAGTGCCGACAGAGAAAAAAAGGCTAAATGAGCCGCGTCACGACAAAACCAACGTTGTGTGTTTGCGACCAGCATGGATCCAGACCAGCCTGAACATCCGCGCAGTCTGATCAGGATCCATGCTGTTCGCTATCAGTTTCTCTACTTGTAATAGGGTTGTTAAGCGAACAGCATGGATCCTGATCTGTTCAGGCTGGTATGGATCCATGCTGGTCGCAAACGCACTATGTTGGTTTTGTCGTGACGCGGCTCAAATGCAGATCATGTATATGCCAAATGAGTAATTTTTGAAAACTGTTACAAGATATGCCAACAATAAAAATGTTTTTGAGGAACAAAAATGATAGCACTTTTGAGGCATCACGGGCCTTTAAGAAACTTTTGGTTTTCTGTTATCACCAGAGTAAAAGTAAAAATTATAATCATGACAAGGATGATAATGACTATTGTGGTTATAATGAACAAGGGAAATTCTCAGAATATTTATCTGTTTCAGCTGGAAGTTTACATGTGGGTCAATGTTTTTAATTGGGATCGGTATGCTAGTGGTAAGTTACAGATGTCTTTTGTGTACTCGATATACATGGGTTTTTCTTTGGTATAGCATATTCATTGGCTACAATTTTCCGACAATATTTTATACGAAATGGAAATGAGAGGCCGTATGCGCTGTTCTTACATGATAATATAATGTACAGATGTGTTTTGAATTGCTTGTCTTGTCTTCTAAAAAAAGGACTTAAAGATAAACAATAGACCAGAATTTTCTTTATTATACACATAACATAATTGAGTCTACATCGGATCATTTAAAATTTTAAATACAAACGTACTTTGACAATATTTACAGTTTATTATTTTCTAAATTAAAAGCTTTCATTAAAATTACGCTCTCATAGCAATACCATTCCTTAAAGAACAATTGTGAACCACAGTGAAACATTCGACATCTACGCAGGAGAGTTTCTTCATAGTTTGCAAAATAGTTTTATATAGATTTATGCATATGTCTGTAATACTATACAATTTTAAATATGAAGACGATAGTTGAAGAGGATCTTATTTTGTATTTATGTTTCAGATACCATTTTGCAAAAGCATGGGACAATTGCTGGTACCTCATCTTTCACTTGGCCTTGGTGTCGGTAAGCTGACTTTTATATACCGTTCCAAAAATTAATATTTATAAACAATTTCATGGTCATTTGGAAAAAAATCACAGGATATAAAGATACCACCAGAAATAGATATTTGAATACTTTGTTCAGTTGGCAATGTGCATCAAATCATGCAATTATCTGGCGCTTTTTAAAAATTGTTTTTGTTTATTTTTTTTGTTGGAATTAAATTCACACCGACATTGTAAAGTTCATACGGTGACTTTCCAGCTTAATAAGTGAAGGATGACCTCCCCTATCCTTAGTCCATTATTGAAGAGCATCTAAGTAGAATCGCACACTATTCGTAAGTTAGCTGGATAGCCTTTTCACACGAAATAATCCGATGCCCCTAAAAAGGGTTTCGAACCGAAAGCAGTATTTGAAAATAACTACATTTGTGACACCAGCCTATTATTGTCACAAAGTTAGGTATGCATGTATATTACATAAAATTAAATCTTAATACAGCTATTCTCAACATCATTAATTCCGCGTCATCACTTATTGCATTGTAATGGCATACAATCATGTGACCAGTGTTAAAAATGGTCAGAATTTACATATTTTAGTCAAACACCTGAACAAAGTTTTTGTGCAAAATATTTTAGATCTCTAGATTTTACGTAAAACAGAACAACATTTGACAAATTTCTGCAAAAAGCCACAATTGTTCATTAAATTTGTGCATACGTCTGAAACAATAATCATGTTCTAAATGTTCTTGTTTGTTGAAAAAATAAATTTCGAGTTATGAAGTAAAGATAGTGTTAATATTCAAAATGAAGCAAACTAGCATGTAGAAATTTAAACTGAAACATGAAAAAGCTGTGAAAAAAACTGAAACACCATTTACCGCGTTTTAAATGATGACATACTATTTTCAAAATGGCTGACATATGGTCATCGTCTTGCTTTGAAATTGATTTTGACTGATCCTTGTGTCAAACAGCAGAAAATACATATATATTACAGCTTATGACAAGTTTTGTACCATGTTTTTCTATGTTGTTTTCTTTTGTTTTCAAAGCGTTAAGTACCATGAACTAAGAGGAGCACAGTATATAATATAACGGTTTACTTTGCCATCATCAGTTAATCTTTGCTTCCATATTTTGAGTCAATATTTATTATGTCTGTTTTGAAATATTAACTGTGTTAAATGAGCCGCGCCATGACAAAACCAACATAATGGGTTTGCGACCAGCATGGATCCAGACCAGCCTGCGCATCCGCGCAGTCTGATCAGGATCCATACTGTTCGCAAACAAACTCTATTACAAATAGAGAAACTGATAGCGAACTGCACGGATCCTGATCCTGGATCCATGCTGGTCGCAAACGCATTACGTTGGTTTTGTCGTGACGCGGCTCATATGTATTACGTTGTAGGTGTAACTGATGCAGCAATCATGCCCCTTCTAGCGTTACTGATAGATCAGCGTCACGTGTCAACCTACGGAAGTGTTTATGCCATTGTTCAATTAGCTGTATGTCTTGCATATTCATTAGGTAAGTTGTAATTAGCTGTATGTCTTGCATATTCATTAGGTTAGTTGTAATTAGCTGTATGTCTTGCATATTCATTAGGTTAGTTGTATTAGCTGTATGTCTTGCATATTCATTAGGTTAGTTATAGTGGTGATATACTCGGATGATATAAGAGCTTGAAATAAATTTCCAAGTAAACAAACAACATTATTTTCGCCCTTTATTTCCTAAAAAAATATGTAAAAAGAATAAAGGAATTTATTATATACTTTTAGATAAAATATTGAGAAATATTGATGAAATAAATGTGTATTATCATTTTCCGTATTTTCACTGTAAAAATTTATTTTTCACTGCAGTGAAACATATTTTCCGTATTTTCACTGGTGTCTTGCCAGACTATTTTCTTTTAAATTCTGCCAGTACTCAAAATTTAAGGGAAAGTCTTTCAAATTTTAATGTCCTGAAAGAGAAAAACGTATTTATCACACACCCGTGCCGATTTTGCGACTCCGTAAATATGGTATTATCTTGTCACTTGTATCAATTTCTGCCCGATAACAAGGTGCCGTATATTTTTACTGATCTACGGCACTTGATCACGTGGTATGCATGTTTGCCGGACTATTTTTCAAGAAAAAATATAAAAACTGTCGTTAAATCTTTTGTGTGTAGAATAACGAATTTTGGAAACGTTGATAAAACTTTGTTTGTTTATTTCATTTCACTCTATAATTTTTCAAGTGAAATAAAAATTATTAAAATTGAAATAAATGTAAACCTTAACTCGTTTGCAACATTGAAATAGCGTACTTGATTTGATTGTTTTTCACGTTCTGTTTGGCGCTACATTGTGGGGTCACGTAAACAATACTTTAAACGTCTGTACAGCGTTAACGACTGAATAAAAGATATTGGTGTTCGAATTCATTTTCTTAGTTAGACCATTTTCTTTCATTCTAGATAGTTTTCACAACAAAATTCGACAAAAAATTGTTTTTATTTATCACATTTTTCAAACAAAATGGCGCCCTCAATGTGAAAATACACAGGGAGATAATAAGAACGGCGAGTGCATTGTTGTAGAATAATGCACGCTTCGGGCCTTCTTTGTTTATACAGAAACATTTCCGATAGGTGTGATTAAAGGTAGTTTGCCTAATAAAATTCTTTAAAAAAACGGTGACAGGATAAATAGAATAATAGATTGGTGCCGTTGATGGCAATGAGTGTAAATACATTCCTCCGCCTCGCCAGATAAACTTTCTCCATCCACGGCACCAACCTAGCTATTATTCTCTATTTGTACAGCCGTGCATATATTTTGACGTGACGTCATTAGCGTTATACAAACATAGTGTAAAGACGCGCTAAATGTTAGCGTTATACTATAGGCGCGTCAATGAAAAATGACTCTTATTTCAGTTTTAACTGTCTTTATTTTGGGTATGTGATAAATAGAATATTAAATTCGTGTAAGTTCATAACTGAATTTATTGCACACGTTGAATGAAATAATATTATGCTCGCCGGAGGCTTGCATAATATAATTTTATTCAACTCGTGCAATAAATTCAGTATTGAACTTACACTCATTCAATATACTCTATATAATAAACAGAAAATTCAAGTTTTTTCTATAAATACATGATTTATTTTCATCTTGTGGCCTGAAAATTACCGTATTTCACTCGTGGCTACCGCCACTCATGAAATATTTATTTTCATACCACTCGATGAAAATAAATCTTGTATTTATAGAAAAAACTTGAATATCCTCTTTTTATTGAAAAAAAAATGTTATTCATTGTTTACATGTGGTTATATCAAACATAATGATAGTTAAAAAAATTTATTTTTAATTACAGGTCCGGCTGTAGCAGGTCAGATAGTGAGACTGTTTGGCTTCAAATGGTATGTTAGACCCTGTATACTAAATTTTGTTTGTACTTATTACGTTCTGTTCTTAAAATGATTCATGAACAATTCTAATGTGAAACGTAAACTTCTGTGTATTACATGTACATAAGTTCATTCATTCATTCATTCATTCATTCATTCATTCATTCATTCATTTGATTCATTTGCTCACTCACGCATTCATTCATTTGCTCATTCATTCATTCATTCATTCATCCATTCATTGTAGAACGGCTCTTTACCGTAGTAGACTCGCTTTCTTTTACATTAATTATTCGTTTCAATACATACAAATGTATAATAATATATAATATAATGTTTAAATTGTTAACGTTTTATATAAACTGGGATAAACTTGTCTTTTCATCTGCCTATTTTCTTTCAGGTCTATATGGGGTATGGCGATACTAAATCTTTTGTTTCTACCATTGTGCGTATTTTTAAAATCTCCGCCAGTTGAAGAAGATTCACAGGTTTTCCTTTCCTTATATTTTTGTTGTTAAAATATACACTATTTATTAGTTGTTTTAAAAAAGAAACAAAAATGTTTATGAACGTTTGAAATATTATGTCATGATTCATTGGGTTTATTTTAGTTGATAGCCGATAACTTCTTTTGAATTTCATTGAAAAGGAGAAAAATAATGTGAAAAGCAATTTACGGACATTACTTCTTATTTTCTTTCCATTTTTTATTTTAAGTTACCAAATTTAATGTGATCTATTCATTAACATAAAAAAGTGAATGTATGTATTGGTGTAGTTTCGCTTTAAAGAGCATGGAGTCTAGTTCATAGAAAGGCAATTCTCTTAAAATTATTGTTATCATTTGGAATTATCATTGTTATTTATTGTTTTTATTGACAGTGTATCCTACAGGAGATTAATAAAGGTGAAGAAACTACAAATGAAGATAAAAGAACAACGGCAAAATATCACTCATTTTATTCTGAATGAACCAGGATAGTATCAAGATATTATATGAATAACTTGTAAAGACGTTTGATTTAAAGTGAATAGTAATCACAATAGTGTTTTTAATCTTAAGATAGTTGGATAAATAAACAGTTAGAAAAATAAACCGCATAGAACAAATTACAAAATATAAAATCAGACATAATAAGGAACTTACCTATATGCTCACAGCGAATTACGGATATGAGGAGCATATTTTGAATGTCCCAGCGAGTTTACAGTATATATGATAACCCTTATTAATGATGTGTTTCTATTAATGTACAAAACAAAATGTCAAATAAAACGCAAAAAAGTAATACAGAAAATAAATAACTAGATTTTACACGTTCCATAACAACCACTTGTTTGGGTTAGGTAAGTTTAAGGTTAAAAGTCTATTGAATGAACAGCTGTGTGTGTCTTGATTTTCAGTAAATCGATGGATACCAGTGTGTGCATTTTGAAATAGATATTCTAAAATGCGTATATGCATCATTATACCAAACGCAAGGGCGGTAACAAAGTTTATCTAGACATAAAATTCGGAAATGTTGTTGCCTCCCTTTTGAGTTTTTTTTTTTGAAGCACCACACTAAACTGTTAAAGGCGCATGCTAAATAAACCCATAGCATCCTTTAAAAGTTTTGCTTGTCATGTTAATATTTTTTTATCTTTATTTTTTATAATGACTATATGCGATAAATAGAGGATATTGAATGAGTGTAAGTTCAATACTGAATTTATTGCACGAGTTAAATAAAATGATATTATGCGAGCCTCTGGCGAGCATAATATTATTTTATTCAACGAGTGCAATAAATTCAGTAACGAACTTACACGAATTTAATATTCTATTTATCACATACCCAAAATAAAGACCGTTTAAAGTGAAATAATTAAGAGCCATTTTTCATTGACACGCCTATAGTATAACGCCAACATTTAGCGCTCTTTACACTATGTTTGTATAACGCTAATGAAGTCACGTCAAAATATATGCACGGCCGTGCAATACCATATTTACGGAGTCGCAAAATCGGCACGGGTGTGTGATAATATGAATTTGTTAAAGAAACAACTGAATGACAGTGAGAAGAACGAACGGATGAACAGAATATGAAATGCGATTTTAGTAGTAAATTTTAATCTTCAAATGGCAACAAACAATGCCGATCTTACTGGTTTTAAAATACGGTTCTCATTTCAATTTGCCGTTTAAATAAAACTGATTATATAGAAGATATTTGTTTGTTTTGCATGCAAGTTTGAAATATAGTTCACTGAGTGAACACCAGATGCATAGGAAAGCTGGTGTTCACGAATGAAATACATTCTAATCTTATATGTACACAAATAAATTTTCTTTTATTTCAAGCTTTTTTAGTGATTTAATTAAGTACTTTTTACTGATTTTGCCGCCTAACGTTGCGCATTCACCTTTATGACGCCATCACATCACGACGTCACATAATCATGTTTCAAATGTTTTCCAACAGTTAGATGACGTCACTTAACGACGTCATTTGACAGCGTCTCCTAGCAATACCAGAATGAGGACTGAAAGATATCCATGATGGGCGCTGCAATTTGCCATTAGCTGAAATGTCCTCACATAAGGTGAGAATCGTAAAAGTTGAGCCCTCAGATGGTACGGGATCTTTACCCCCAGTGAGGGCAGATTCAAAGAAACTTATGGAACAACAGATTATGTTGGCAAATAAAAGAAGTCAAGTTTTTACTTACAAAGGACCAGGGCAGACCCGAAGTCGTTCTGTACCCAACAGAACATTTAAAGAGGTTCAATTGACGCATGCACGGGATCAGAGTTTGCCGAGGGCTACAGGGGCGGAATATCGTGACGATTTTTCCGATTCAAGCGACGATGATTTAGAAGAGGAGGAAGTCAAGCTAACAAATTCACCAAAGCAGGAATTAGAACAAATGGCTGCTGATATAAGTACGAGTTTAGAAGACAAAGAGGAAAATCATAGAGAGTCAATGGATGTATCAGCACATAAAGGGGTAGATCGTACAAACATGAAAAACGAGGCGGGAAATAAGGTAAACTTCGAGTTTCACCGTTGTGCTTAGCATAATACTACAGTACTTATTACTAACTAAAATGATGATAAATTAATCACAGGGATAACATTTTGTATGCAAATATCTTGACTTATACTTAATTATATCTAATGTTTATTATGTATTTATTATTTGTTACATGTCGTAAGGTATTTGACATTAATGTGAGGGATATATTTTATTTTGTATACACATGAAACATGCATGCTTTTGTACTCCACGGAAAATATTCAATTATTCTCGCTTTCCCAATAAAATGGCCTATAAAGGGGTTTAAGTGAGTTATATCTTTTTTGAGCTAAGATTGTAAGTCCAAGCTTACAGGTGCAATCCACAAACCTATATCAAATTAACAATATGTATGTAAAGATACAGAACAAAATAACATTAAGTGTATCTAATTAGTCGCCGGTAGAAACCGGCGACTATATTTGTAACAGTTTAATATTATATCTATGGTAGGAGAAGGCCTTAAAATCTGAAAATAAAAGCAAATCAATTACTGAACAATTAAGGACCACAATTATTTTTCAGAATCTTAAAAATTCAAAAATAAATTAACGTGGTTAAATGAAATGAAATATACAAATATTGACATCTTAAAAAGCAACATTACAATTTTCATAAAATGAATTAATAACGTATCCCTATGGACCAGTCATTGAATTTAGGGATACTTTTACTTTTTTCTAAGTGTCAAGCGTTGCTATTTTATGATTGATAAATCATGAATGATATTTAAAATGACACATTTAAAATATGGTTGTTTTATATCTTATGATACCTATTATATTTCATTATTTTATCTAATTATAAACAGATTCTCCCTGTTCTATTGTAAGAATCACGTGACTACACGTTGTATGTTAGTGTTATAAAATCTATTAATAGTAACAGATTGCTGATAAGACATACTAGTTGGAAAACGGTATGGGGGCTAATAAAATGCAAATGTATAAATAATTACAAAGTTATCTTTCATTAATCAGTTTCATATTTTATATCATTAGAAAGGATTAGTACATTAAAGAATTAAATAAATTTTCAAAACCTTTTCATTTTATCTTGGTAAAGGGTTAAATTTTGCCTTTTCTGTCAATGTTCAACAGTTTAGTTTAGGTTGAACATCACAAAATAGATTTATGCTAAAGAGGCACATTTATTGAAAAAATAAATAGTGGTAATCGTCGTCTTCGTTATATTCCGTCGATTTCCGTCGCGCAGGTTACCAAAACGGTACGACACATAATAATGAAAACTAATAAAATATCTTTTTGTTAATATTTTATCGAACTGTAAGGCAATTAAACGTTAACTATATCGTATGTAACGACAGGAATATTGATTTCAACTAAATAGCTTATTTTTTTCGATAGCGCAAAAAAATAGTTTTATGAAAACTGCAAAAGGGATTTTCAAAGATTCGAATTTGGCCTACTAGGTCACAACTTCGTCCTATACTTACCACATATTAATTAATTTAATATCGAGATCTATACTATCAATAAAATCTTTAGCATAAATCATAATTAGTTACGTAAACTAACGTACGAAATACTTGCTTAATAATCATAGCAGTTCCTTAACAATATTGCTAAGCAAGTTTGCTTCATATATGATGTTTTATTGTGAATAAACAGTTACTCAACATAAATTGTTCCTCTTTTCTTTATACCTGAACCATTAATTAAACTGATTTTTTTATATTTATGATAATACAGTCATTTTCTATCCGGCGACTTGATGCTTTAGCATCAAAATCTCTACTTGTTTGTTCTTTGTTAGTTTACCTGAGAGTTCACGTTCCTGCTTTAGATTATTGCCGAATAGCTTTGTTTGTCAATTATAATTGGTACTTAGATATTCCGGATTTATTTCATTCGGTTCATGTGAAGGATTGATAACATCGAAGAACATTATTTGTTTCGTTGAATTTAAATTGTACATGTTTGGAAACCTTTGAATGAATTGATGTAAGCTGCACCACATTTGTAATACTATCTCCCTCGGGATTCCTCTTCAATTGAAGGAAAATGAAGACCTTGATAAAAAAGATAAAGTTGTAAAAGCAGAAAAGGAAAGCATTGCGACCACTTCTAACGAATGTGACCAGGGAAATGATAAAGACAAGAAGAAAAGAAAGATGAAGGTACCAAGTTGCTTTGGTTTCATTTCAACTTGGATAGCCAAAAGGAAAGAGAAACGTAGGGAAAAGAAAAGAAAGGCTATTGCTAGCCGCACCCCCACACCAACGCTAGGTAAGAATTACACTTAGTACACAGACACACCTCGCTCGCATTTTGTGACAGTTAGAAAATATATGAATTATGTTTCCTGCTTGTAAGTATATTTTCGTCATACTTTTATTTAAAGAGAAGAAACTGCGTACTTTAACAAGATAATTCATTGACAATACTATTTCTATTTTAGTTCAATATGAGCATAGAAAAGCACGTGGCGGGGAGTCTTTTACCATTGAAGTAGATTGCAAACCAATAGTCATGAAGCCGATATTGCCGCCAATTAAGAAAGCTGACGGGCCTGTAAGTATAAATGTTATATTTTGAATACAACATACTTTTTATTCTTCCGCCCGGAAATATTTCTAATGTATATTTGAAAAAAAAATTTTTTGATTGCAACATACTTTCTACTCTTCCGCCTGAAAATATTTCTGTTGTATATTTGAAAATTATATATATGTATTAATAAGATACATTTATGTCACTGCACTATTCGCTATATAGTCAACATATAAAAATGCTGTTTTGTCCAGACTGAGATTCATATATCATACGTAATTAGAATAGTAAGTGTAAAAGCCATTTGAAATTTGCCCTTCCACATCAATTAAAAAATTATATATTAAATCTGCAACGTTAAAAGTTATATTTAATCCAATGTATATATCCGGCAAACATTGCTACAACTAAACCCCATTAACGCTATTTATTTTATGCTTTTCACTGGATTACTGATTTATCCGTGAAAATTATATTTGATAATTTCACAGTGAAAATTATCAAAATATAATTTCACTTTTTTCAATGACAAAACTACTTTTTTAAGATTTTCCCCATGTGGTACCTCAATTTTATTTTTACTGACAATTCTGACAATATCAGGCTGTTACAAAAAATAGCAAAGCTGAAACAGATAAATAACTTAAATGTCAAAAGTAATAAAGAGAGAAAACTTACTTCTATTCCTTCAAATTCCAATCACAAAATTTCGTCTCTAAATTTTTTTGTTTCGTTTTTACAGTCTGAAAAATACATTCCTTCCCCATGCTAAACTGCTCTTGATGACATTTGGGCATATTAAAGTATCCTACGAGCAATAACTGCCGTATGCTTTATGTAAAATTGAAAAGCATTGACAGCAATCACTCGTAAAATAAGTAAAACAACCCAGCGTTCCTTACAATGCCTTAGCAAGCTTCCAAGTTTTCCATTTTCCTAGCTCCTTTTCTGAATGTTTTCGCTTCTGTCAACACTTATTTTTTGTCTGTTACAATCCTCAAATAAGTTTTCTTTCTTTTAAAAAGGTGTATGACTAACAAATCCAAATTATATCCTTCTGAATCTTACACAATTATTTTCCTCCCATGAAATACACAACTTTAAAAAATGGCTGACGCTTACATTTTACAAAGCCAGGTCTAATATAAATTCGCAGTAAGTAACAGAAATATGGATGGATGGTTGGACTTTTTCTCCTACAAGAATTGTTTGTTTTTATTATTAAAACAAGCGATCATTCATATTTTTTAATAAAATGAATAAATATCACCGTCATTTAACCTTGATTGGCGGACTTACTTCTCAGCTCAAGACTTCTTGTTTTTAATGAGAAATTCCCTCTGAATGGGGCTCTCAATGGGGGAAACAGATTTTAATATTAACGTTAAAATTATGGAAATTTCGTTTTAACTTGTTTTAAAGCATAAAATAAAAAGAAAATTTGTCTGTTTGTTGTGTAAGATGTAATTTTATTTCATCTCGTGAACTTTAAAAACAGTATTCTCACTCTTGGCTACGCCACTCGTGAGAATACTGTTTTTAAAGCCCACTCGATGAAATAAAATTTCATCTTACACACAAACAAACAAATATCCTCTCTCTCTCTCTATATATATATATGTAGCGAAATATTCCCCGTATTGACGAATGATAAATGAAGTTGTGTGTTGCCTAAAAATATGTATACATTCACAATACACAAAACGGCACCATATGGAACGCAAGGAGTGACCAATAGTCTAAGATTCGAAACCTTAGACTTTTTATATTTTGTTTTTATATTATTACTATAATAGATATGTACAACTTAGACAAAGTTGAGAAGTTTCAAAAGTTTAATAGTTGTTACATCTTCACAGATACGCCTAGCTTGTGAGGCTCGACAAGAAAAGGCCGAGGCCAAAAGAAATGAGGAGCTTTCAAAAAAGAAGGTACTGGCAAGAGAGCACCAGAGAAAAAAGTAAGCTCACTTAATTTGTGTAATAACCGTTTGATTACATATACATGCACGTTCTATAATGAATGTGTGTTTTCGTATACCTGATGTTCCGACAAGAATTATTGTATTTCGCATGCTAAATCATTATACATTTTAGATATGATCAATATCATTTAAAAAATAATTGTTATTTACATAACACATTCAATATGTATAGCATTAAATCACACCAGTCAATATATCATTAACATCACACCAGATACTATATTATTTACATAACACAGACATTTTACCATTTACATCACACCAGATACTATATCATTTACATCACACAACATACTATATCATTTACCTTACACCAAATACTTTATCATTTACAGTATACCAGATACTTTACCATTTACATCACACCAGATACTATATTATTACATCACACCAGTTACTATATCATTTACCTTACACCAAATACTTTACCATTTAAATCACACCAGATACAATACCATTTACATCACACCAGATACCATGATATCATTTATATCTTACACCAAATACTTTATCATTTACATCACATCAGATATATTACATTTACATCACACCAGATATGAAAGTATTTACATCACACAAGATACTTTGTTATTTTTTACTAGAGCAATTACATAACACCAGATATATTTCATTCACATCACATCAGATACTATATCATTTACATCACACTAGATACTATATTATTTACCTTACACCAAATACTTTATCATTTTCATCACATCAGATATATTACATTTACATCACACCAGATACGAAAGTATTTACATCACACCAGATACTTTGTTATTTTTACTAGAGCAATTACATAACACCAGATCTATTTCATTCACATCACATCAAAAACTATTTCATTTACATCACACCAGATACTATATCATTTACACGTCAACAAATATATAACATTCACATCACACCAGATTCTAAATTATTTACATCACAACATAAACTATATCTTTTTACATCACAACAGATACTATATCATTTACATCCCAGTAGATATTATATCACTTACATCAAGCAGATACTATATCATTTACATCACACCAGATACTATATCATTTACATCACACCAGATACTATATCATTTACATCACACCAGATACTTTATCATTTTCATCACATTAGATACTTTTTCATTTACATCACACCAGATACTATATCATTTACATCACATCAGATACTATATCATTTACATCCTACTAGATTTTATATCATTTACATCACACTAGATACTATTTCATTTATATCACAACAGATATTATATCATTCACATTCCACTAGATATTATATCACTTATATCACACCAGATACTATATCATTCACATCACACCAGATACTTTATCATTTTCATTTATATAATCTACATTACTTAACGACATTGATAAACATTCAATTGACACAATGTTCTTTGATATATTTTAGAACTGAATGCAAGCAACGAAAGGACGAGTCCGAACACCGGTTTCAGGAAAGAGTTCGACTCACTATCAGATATAGACAAGCAGACGCCGAAAGGAATAGGAGCCGCATGTTGGATCAAAGAGGAAGCATTAGCCGAATGTCAACCAGAGCAAGAAGCTCACTGGCTGTTTCCTCCTCCTCAGAGTCTGTCGACGAGGGCAATAAGAAAGCCCTCAAGGTCGGCAGCTCTCATTAAATTTTAGGCCGGTCGACACACCCTATAAATAGTAGGCCACATACATAATGCTATTGTCACGTGATAGGACGTTTTCTTGACATAAACTACAAAAAAAAGCAGCTTAATTCCTTTTCTCTTACTCATTTTTAATTTTATAATGTAAAAATTCTTCTTTTTTTTTTCATTTTATTATCAGATGATCATATTTTCTCGCCGTTTTTGCATTTACTCTTTTTTGTGATCCTTCAATACGAATTTCAAATCATATTGTGTGTATCAAATGTCTATGACAATTTATTCAGACAAGCATTTATTTTCAGTTTGTCTTTACTTTCTTCATTTTTAAACTCCTGCTTTTGGAAAACAAGCTTAACTCATCTCGCACATAGTCTTGTTAAATTTTCAATTGACCAAAGTTTGTGAAATTTCAACACACAAGTTATATTTCAGCACTATTTTCAGAAGCAATACAATGTCGATATATTAAATTATCTAAATGGTCAACTTTACAAAGTTAACATGTGCCTTCGATAGTTAAAAACAACATCTTTGTTTTAAAATCTTTATACCAACCTGATCTGCCTTGAACAAAAAAAATACATAAAACCACGAAAACAGGTATCAAATCTACACTTTGACCTTGATTTATCAACGTCAAGTATGATGATACTTACTAAAAAATTCACCTCATTTTATCATCCAATCATTCATGTATTCATCAAAAACCCCAAGAAACAAGGCATTGGTCTTTTGCTTACCGTTTAAGAAAACTCTTAACCTTTAAAAATACATTTTTTTTATCATAACATATGTGTACATTTCAATCACTAATTTGTTATACTTTCTAGGATTCATTCATTTTTCATTTTAAAAATCTGGTTAGTCAGAAAGCGCACCTAGATCATTAAGTATGTTTTTGGACATTCTCATCTTAGCAACAAGGAAATATTTCTGGTTAACACTATATATACTATCTTAACTATTTTTTTATACATTGAAGTTTAAATTTACACTTTTTTTATTATTCATCATAATAATATTATGTTAACAAGCGGACCATGATGAATATCTGCCTTGAACAAACAAAAAAAATACATAAAACCACGAAAACTAGTATCAAATCTACATTTTGACCTTGATTTATCAACGTCAAGTATGATGATACTTACCAAAAAAATCTCATCTCATTTTATCATCCAATCATTCATGTATTCATCTAAAAACTCAAAGAAACAAGGCATTAGTCTTTTACTTACAGTTTAAGAAAACTCTAAACCTTTGAAGATAAATTTCTTATCATACCCTACGTCAGGCTACATGTACATTACAATCACTGGTTTGTTATATTTTCTAAGTTTTATTCATTATTCTATTTAAAATCTGGTTAATTTGAAAGTGCACACATTGAGTACATTTTTGGACATTCTTATCTTAGAAACACGGAAATATTTCTTGATTTACACTATACATACTATCTTAACTGTTTTTTTTTATACAAACAGTTTTACACATTTTTGATAATTCATCATAATTATGTTATAGAAATAACCTTTTTTTTCATTTGTATTAACAGTTGAAAAACAAATATGGCTAAAAATATCATTGATATTCCAAGTTAAATTTATAAATTATAAATGACTATTCACGTGACATGGCTCCGATATTTCAAGGCATAAAGACCCTTTGGCCTGCTGTTATAGGGATGTTGTCGGTTTTGTTTTTTGACATTTTGGCATTTTGTTTTCAAAACTTACAAATTTTTCCTCTCAATGTTGCATCATTGGTCATAAGACTTAAAATAGGTATATCAATAAAAATACATCTACAATTTATATTACACCTTTTCCTGATACATGCATATATAAATTAAAACAAAATTTAGATCACAAAGTATACTGAACTTGTTGTTGTTGTATTTTACCACCATTTAACTCCTCGGGAAAACAAATCATCATAACAAGTAATCGAGATATCAGAGATCATAGAGGCTTTGTCAATATTGTAAACGTATGTCAGGATGAAATTCTTAGCGTGATGATATTATTGGATTTAAACATTTACCAATTTACTGTTCTAAAGGCATATTATTAGAGCGAACAATTATTTACTTCTGTAGAAAGGCAAATATGAAGTTTATTATATTTAAATAATGGTTTTAGAGCATGTAAGCTGCTTGTAACCGACAACATCGAGATAAATTTGAAATAATTTGTCATGAACCAAGCGGATTGTAAACAAAGAAGTATTCTGACTTCCATACAAGAACTACTTAATCACAATTACTGTACTCATTGCCTAAAACATGTAAAAGCAACAGGTGAAAAAGTTGGTTTAGATAATTGAGGAAGGAGTAGCCTTTTTAAAATATGAAAGTATACAAAGTATTTTTGAGACATAATGGGCATTTAAAACCAATGACGTTTATAAGATACATCAATAGTAAGGCAGTTTTAAAAAAGTTGCATATTATTCCGAGAAAGCCCAAAATTTGTTGTGGTCCGACCTCCGCACCCCTTCCCCCAACCCCCTCCCCCCAAAAAATAATAAATATACAGGCCACAGAAACACTGTATCTGCTTAAGCAACTCCCTATACATTCAAAATACCACATAGGATCAGGTACATGTACTTCGTCTTGAAGATTTTTTGATCTGTTTTTAAACAGTTTCATAGTTTGTTGACGTTTCTGATGAAAATGTGTCAGAGTTAAATCGTATGCATATAAATACAATGTGTTAACCGGAGTGCAAGTATTACTTACCCGCACTCCAGAGCATGTCCATTGATTGTCTCATTTTTGCAGGGGTTTACTTATTGTGACGGCAGAGAAAGGGAAAGCGACAAAAATATCATATTAAGATGCTCGTTTATTTGTTACTTTTTTCTGGGTTTTCATATTGTGACAACAGGTAACGTGTTTTTATGTTTGACTATGATACAAAAGAGAAACAAATCAAGACAGTCGGCAATCTGATTAATACTCGGTCTCCTCGTACAAATCAAATAGCCTATAGTTTCGGTGCTCTTTCTATTACTTGTAACTCCTGTATAATTGTTTCGTATATAGTGGCTTATTACTATCTGGTCCACAAACAATAATGTCTATTCTAACTTTTTATTTCATAAATCTGTTTCCATAACATAGTGATAATGTCTTGTTAATTTACAAGTATTTCCTAATGTTCAATTGTCAAAGTATTTTCTTAAGTTTTCTAAAAGTAGGGATATAACAGTGGCTGGGACGACATCGAGGGAAGTTTCTGCCAAAAAGAAAATGTTGAGGCCGTTAGGCCCCAGCCGCTGTGACATTCCTATAACTTGCAAGTTTCATATTTAATCACAGCTAGCTATATGTTATGTCAGTTAGCGCAGCAGTTTAAAGTTGTTTTCGCTGTTGACAAAAAAGAAAAGAAAAGAAAAAAAGAATATAACAATTAACTCTGAAACCACACGAGGTATCAACAAGAAACTGTAGGTAGATAGATCTCATTGTGTAGAAGTGCAGTGACTTGTCTAGTTCTGGAGTTATTGCCCTTTGTTCATTTTTACAAATTGAATGTGATCAGGACATAACTCTTAAACTATAAGAGATATCAACAAGAAACTGTGTAGGTAGATAAATCTTATTGGATAAACATGCAATGAAAAAGAACTGTATTTTTGCCTTGCCTAATTTTCGATTCATCGCCCTTTGTTTATTTTTACTTTTTGAACTTTGTCCTGGACATAACTCTGAAATCGCAGGAGGTATTAAGAAGTAACTTTGTAGGTAGATAGATCTCATTGAGTAGATGTGTTTTGCAAAGGAAACGAAACCCTGCCTTACCTTATTTTGGGGTCATTGTCTTTGATCATTTTTACACTGTAAACTTTGTCTGAGACATAACCCTGAGATATCAACAAGAAGCAGTTTTTTTCCCTTTATGAATCAAGTGACAAAAAAAACTGCACTGTTACATATCAATATAGTTTTCAAATCCTAAATATAATGGGTTAGAAAGAACAAAGAAAAAGCTCAAAGCCATTCGATAATTTACGAAATTTCTAAATATCCATGCTCGAATTGCTTGGGAGCATGAACCTATCGCCATATTAGGAAAAGTGGTAAGTATGCAAATGAGTCAGGTCAGTCTGCCCTGGAAAGAAGACACATATTACGTCATACCGACTTGACATTGTTACAGAAGCTGAATCTAAAAATACATAAATAGTTAGGCTAGAATAAAAAAATACTTGTTTTTTATGTGTGTGTGTGTGTGGTTTTCCTTTTTCTTTTTTTCCAGAATGCTGTTTTTTAAAAAGCAATGATTAATAAGTAACTCTGGCCTTATAGCATGTGATGTCTGGCCGTGTTTTTTCGAATTTGCCCGTTGTCATATTAGATGCCATAAGACTTACGTTCATGCTGAAAATGCACTTTAAAGACAATTATGGGAGATAATTACTGTTAAAATTTCATCGACATGTTTTCTTACATTGTAAATTGTAGACTCTATATGCTTACAAGTAAATTGGTTCATGGAGCCTTTATAATGATTTTGTCATGCTGCCTTCATACTTTGTAAATGAATTAATTTTTTTTTAATTCAAGGCAAAGTGTGTTTCCTTCCTACTCTCTATATTAGTTTTTCTTACTTGAGGTTTTTTTCTCATTGCTAATGAATGCACAGCTGTAAGCATTTATTCATTGCTTATTTTGAATTATTTAATTCAGTAAGGAAAATGGCTTATACTATGTGTTGGTACTTCGTTATTAAACCTCGGTTTACAATTACGCTGTGAGTGTTGTTTTGTATTGACCATGCCAACACACGTATTTATCAAAGGTTTTAGAAATGTACTCCGTAGTTGTGAATATTAACAATTACTATAATGTCACGCGAAATATACCGTAAAACAAACGTACGTCCAAACGGGAGTTATCGCGTAGCATGTTATCGAATGGGCGAGTTGAATTATTACACCATGCGGCGATCAAGGATAATCGACAGTTTCAGTTAAATCGTGAAACAATGTTTTTGTTTGTTATCTCCCTTATAAGTATATACGCCATTTCTAACGGACAGGTATGAACCTGGCGCTTCGAAAGTTTCTCAATTAAACTGAAGGCAAACACGGCGACCTTACTAACTTAAGTGAGTCCATACAAACATACGTTACAACTATTTTCAGAGACCACAAAAAATTTCATATAAACAGAATAATAGCATATTTTTTCATATAAACAAGCATGTGTGTGTATGGATGACAATTTTAGTACTTTAGTCATTAGTCTTTTTTTTTCGCTCAATATGTTCTATGCGAAACGGGGTACGCATCAGGTATATAGTATTACAACTTTCTTTTCTCTTTCAAGTGTTTGCATGCACTGACATTAGTTCGTTATTATTTATGTTCAAAATCGTTTACGTACGGGTCGGTCAAGCGATGTCTGACCTAGACAAAAAGTGCATTTTCGCTTTAAAATTCCATCTTTTGTCGTACCAACTGGTCTATTATTTTACATTTTTCGAAAGAGAAAGGCAAACCTTTCTATCTTTACTATATTTATAGTATATATGGATGCAATTTATCGAAAATAAGATGTTTTAAAAACATTTTGAATGAAAAAATATTTTATCAGTAAAAAAATATATATTTATAAAGATAAGTAGGCACGGTCATGTACATGTATTCAATCCCAGCCACGCACCAACTGCCTTTGGGAACACGTATATACAATAAGTCAAATAAATAATTTAATACAACGTCAGAATTTAATTATTGGATGTATTGAGTTTGACTTATTGATTTATATATCATCTACCAGAAATATTTTCTGGTTTAATACGATAACTATTTCCCATTACTCAGTTAATTTGTCTATGAATTTTTAAATTATTTGTTTGCAGATCATATATAGATATACCTGATTCTTTATGTCTAATCTCTGTCTAAAGTAATTCAGGTAGAACATTTTCTAAATTTAAAACAAAAGCTGCTAAGGTATCAAAAAAGCGAAGGCAAAACTTAAATTCCTCCAATGAACCTGAATATATTTTTTTTTAAAAATCCTGCTGGTGTCAGAGATGTAGATAGCTATCTATGTCTCTGCTAGTGTTATAAAAAATTATCTTGACTGTATAAGCCGTCAAGCGGCGGCGAGAAACATGTAAGTAACATAACACAAACACACAAAACAAAAACAAAAATAACTGCAAAAAAAAAAAAAAAAAAAAAAATAATAATAATAAAAAAATAGATTAATAAAAAAAAAACGAACGGATATCAGAAAGACCTCGTACTCGGTCGATATCCTATACATATTGATTTGTCTTTACGAAGTGTTCCACACTTCTCGCGAAGGAATGTCATTGGTTTCATAATTACATGGGCATGCTTGCTATATAATGCTAATGGATTGCCATTTTTGTGAGAATCAGAATTAACAATAGTTGAATCAAGATGTATCAGGTTTAAGACACTGCAACAATTCAATTCACGCTTTTCAGTTCTGGAGGGAATTAAAGCATCTATCTATACAAAACGGTAAATTTTACTCTTTATATCTTTTTATTCTTACATTTATAGTTTTTGTCCATTACTTGTAAAATTCGAAATATAATTGTGTCTAGTGTGCGAATGTAGCTGCCGTTTCAATAGTTGTGCTGAATTTGTCGTATCAGTAAATTAAGAAAGTAAGACACTTCATGTTTTCTTTATTATTATTATTATTATTATTATTATCATTATTATTATTATTATTATCATTATTATTATTATCGTTATTGTTATTATCGTTATCATTTTTTATTATTATTATTATCATCATCATTATTATTATAATTATAATTATTATTTTAATCATTATTATTATTATTATTATTGTTGTTGTTCTTCTTCTTCTTCTTCTTTCTTTCTTTCTATTTCAAAATGTTTTGATTTCGAGGTCTTGTATCGCTACAAAACGCTCATGTAAATTTTCTTGTTCACCTTATTTATTAATCGCTCATTAGAATTTTGTATTCATTGCACCTGTAACAATATTGCAACAATATAAAAGAATGGAGTAGTGTTGCTAATGTTATAGGGATATCTTGATATGGAATTTGTACTTGCCAAATGTTGATTTTATTTAAGTAGGCCCTCACAAATGGCGTAGGCGCCGATATTCTTGCATATCAGACAGGATTATCTACCGTTTCGGCGGTGCTAGAAAACTCTATCTAACACCCCCCCCCCCTGTCAGACAAGTCGCGTGCTTTAAATGACGTCATTGCCGCACGCTTTTTATGAATGTATTGCGTTCTTAGGATGACGTTATTTTACCGTTATGAATGAAGTTGTAAGTTCATACGCTACTATAAGAAAAAAGTGCGTAATGAAAATATCAGTTTTCATAATTTCTGTTCCGAAAATAATTGATATGTTAATATACAAGAAAAAGAATCAAACACCGGGTGTTGGTACAGACGGGGAATATCTAACTCTCAGTTAACTGTTTAGCGGAGACTCGGCATAGTCTCGTTACCGCCGTAAAAAGTAACCCTCGAGCTAGATATTCCCGTCTGTAAGGTAGCCAGTGTAAGATTCGTACCGTAATCTGATCTTTCAAAATACATGAAATACATGAAAGCCAACTTAAAGTAATAGACCAAGATGCTCATATCATAAATCTTTTATTATATGCCATTACGTAAATGACATGAGGCTAGGAACGTCCTTCCGAATCACGCATGATTGTAACACAGGTTTTGTTTCCTGTTTTGTCATATTCGTGCACGTGCAACATATAAACTATTTGATTAATTGCCATTTTTATCGTTTTTTATCATTTCTACAACATTAAAATTTTATGCCGCTAGGCCGCCAACTTTATGCGGCTAGCCCGTTGTGCCGCCAAAATTATACGCCGGTAGGCCGCCAATTTCACGCCGCGAGACCACTGGGCCGCTAGGCCGCTTACTTCACACATCTAACTAAATTTTGAAATTTATTCATAATTATATAAATTCCATGTCAGTTTCTAAATTTGACTCTTTATTGTTATCTACATTTGTTTAACGTACTATTATATACTGAAGATTGACGACATTAAATAACTACGTGAAATACAACCGTTAAGAAACGTAACAATCGTGAATAAACACAGCTCACTATGAATTAAAACAACTTTTACACTAACTTGCAGATCATGACGGCCATAGGAAGGTGCCTCGTTATCATCAACTTGATGTGTTTGTTTTGTGAAACTCGACTCGTGACTACCAGCATATCTAGCTCTTCAAAACTTGAAGAACAAGTACAAGCCAATGGAACCCGATGTGATGTAGATGGTCAGTTGCCTACTTCACCATTATTCTTTGATTCCAGCGAACCATGTTCTAGAACATACAATGCAAGAGCAACAGAAAATGTAGACCACTCCTGCAACGTAAAAAGAGTACGACGTACCTCTGAAAGGAAATTAAAAAAGTCACGCCAAGAACGCGGATATAATGTCCAGAAGTCGCAGCCGCGGAAATTATGCCCAACAAAGACAACGTACGGCATTAAAAGTACAGCAGAAGACATGTATGGTGAAAAAGTTACCGTTCATCCTTACATAAATATAGGAAATCTGCATGAAGATCAACTCTTCTACGAATCTTTCTGCGATGTCGAAAGGTGCCAGTGCGATGGCGTGGACAACAAATATTTCCAATCTTTCTGTCAGACCACATTCAGTCTCTCATATGGGAGGATTATTAAAGGCGGCAAAACTGGCTGGAGTATGATTAAACTCCGATCAGGATGTGTATGTGTGGTTAGACAGAAAAAGAAAGGTTTCGTTCGTCGTAATGGAAACAAATAAAAATAATGTTTAGAAAATCAGAGTAATAGCATGTAAAATTATTTTTTATACTAACACAAACTCCTTAAGCTTTATATTTTGCTACTTTTTTTCAATTTTATTTTTATTTTTTTTTTGTTAATAACTCATAATAAGGAACATAACAATTCTATTCATATGTTAAGATTTAATACAACCCATCATCCTACCCAGGCCGACAAGCTTGTATAAAAATCTTAGTAGCGGTTTAGGCATTTGTATAATTATAAAATGGAAAACCCTTTAAGCGGCTTCTTTCATAAATATTACACGTATACCTATATGCAAGAACAACACCAATGCATATTTTTAGTGTATTAACATGTACAGAAGCCCTCAGACTTAAAATACATAAAATCACTCCTCATGTGGGCTCGGCTTTTCCAGATGTAAATGCACATAAGGTGCATTAATTTTCTTTGATTGTAACACGCAAGCATGGCTATTGTTTGGTCTATTTATTATAAGGTTACACTACGCTATTAATTTTATTGAAGAAAAAATAGGCAAGGCATAAATCAAGATTGTTTGTGCTTTACAAGTTAAAAACGATGGCAATAAATTCCAAAAAAAAAAAAAAAAAAAAATATTCAAAAAGAGAATAGTTGTAGCTTTGTGCATTATTTAAACACCCTTCTATTAGGTCAATCTGTCTTTTAAAGTTGTTTTTATAAGTATTTATGAAGTATTTTGTTTTTGGATTTTTAGAAAAAGCTTTATATTATAATTATAATAGTATTCCTTTGTTTTTACTTTTAATTAGCGATTTAGACGTATCGTGACCATCATGTTTAAATTTGGTATAGCAGTTCGGGTTATATTTCAATATTTTTATAATCTTTTATATAGGGTCATATAACCAGTTAAAATATTTATAACTAATAATATACACGGCTGCTGCCAAGCTATGAAATAAGTTCTGTGTTGTTGTTTTTGTTTTTTCCTCAAATAAAAATTTGCTGTGTAAAAAAGAGAATTGACAGGATTTATGGCTGTGTATGAAGAATAATTTGCAAACAAACGTTTAAATAGGCCATATATACTTTCAAAATCTTAAAACCTCATACTGTACTTTAAGCTAGCTGAGATCCAAATAATTTGATAAAGCTAGGCCATACTTCACATCCGTGTAGCTTTACCAGATTGTTTCCTTTTGTGGCTGAGGGGTTGCCGGAATGAGGCATCAGAATTGCAGCAACTGTTTAAACCTGCGTGATTGTTAGATGCGACTTAATCGAGTCGATGCATCTCTAAGCCATGTAAGCAGGTGAGGTGGTTACGCATTTTCATGTATTACTGTATTCTATCATTGGTCCACATGATGTCAGAAACATATTAATGAATGACAAATTAAGAACAAGCGTGTTTAATGTTTATGAATGTTTTTGTTTGTTTTCACAATAATGAATTGTGTATTTTCATAGTATGTAAATATAATTTTCGTTGTATTATTTTCGCTTAATTCTTCTCAAGTAATTGGTTTCACGCGGATTTTAGAGAAAATGTCCCGGTGACCTTGACCTCTGATCGTAATTTCTCAAAATCGGATGGAATCCTTGGCAATGTTCCAGCCAAGATCAACAACCTTTTTCTTATTCAGTTTCAGTTTTGCGTTACTTGAAACAAACTTTATTAACAAATTGTTATAATGACCATGACCTTATGATCTCAAAATCAAAATGAGTCATCAGCTTTGAACAAGGATTTTTCACAAACATCTATAATTTAATTGCCAGAAAACAAATTGGAACTATTTATAATTTATAAGCCATAAGAGATATCCGTGCTGTTACTTATTTAATTTCAAGTTATTTTTAGATGGAGGAGAATAAACAAAATGTCACTTTTACCTTTTGTGGTATGACGTCAAAATATATTTCGGGTATTTACTCTCCTTGGGCAAATTACTTACCAAGTTTTGTACGTCAAATCTTAATCTGTATCAAGTTATTCATCGGACTAGGGAATAATTTAGCTTATTTCCCAGTAACTGTTAAGGCATTTAATATAAGACACAATATTGCAGACCTTTCTATTTAGATAAACTATTCTAAGCTACTGAAAGAGCGGAATATATTTATTATTGTAATACTTGTTTTCTTCTTCTTTACAAATAGTTTCACTTTCTTATTTGTTCCTTTTAAAAGAAACCTTGGAAATAAAATAATATATTATATGTACGTCAATACGTGGGCATCTTCCTGTTTACTATGACAACTTTTGTAATACGCACGAATTGTATTTATAAAACATAATTAGTGACTTTATAAATAGTCTCGGTCTGCGTGATTTTATTTGGCTATGTTCAACGGTAATTCAAACAATGGATAATTCAAACAATGAATTATCGCTATATTTTCAAAAAAGAAAGCATCCTAATGAAACCAAATGCCAAACAAACATGTGCAAATTTATATGACGATAACAAACGGAATGTTAATAACCTGCCATCCAAATGGTTTACATAGAGGATATTTGTTTAGTTCAGTGTAAGATCGGAATATATTTCACAAAGTGAGCACCAAAAGGTATATTTCACGAGTGGCGCAGTCACGACTGAAATATGAACTGTTGGTGTTCACAAGGTGAAATATATTTCGATCTTACACTAAACTAAACAAATTTTCTTTTTATTATATGCAAAGAAACGTTTTAAAAAGACATTAAACCTAATACTGAATGAAAAGCGCCCAAAATAATAATACAACGTGACGTCATTTACGACGTCACGTCATTGAGTTGGTACCCAGTAGGCCCTACTGTGCACGCTGGTATTTCACTGAAACAACGTAAGGGGCTAAAATTCAAAACAGTGAAATTATCAAAGTGGTATCAAATTACCAGTTTTATATCACTGATATATTTCTATAAACCACCGAAAAGCATGTAATAAAATATGTTAATGAACTTTTTAATGCCTAAAATCAATATTTCCAAACTTGGATGCGTTTGACTTTGACGCTTTTAGATTAATAATATACACGGGAGAGGAAGTGTTACACGAAGGATGGAGTTCTTATAATAACTTGTTCAGGAGTTCTTGTGATAAATGTCACGGAGTTCGTCGGAAACATCTGTATATACTACAAAAACACTCGTTAAAAGTGGTTATTTTCATCATTCAAAAATGAATTTTAGGTGTTAAATTAAACTTTAATGATAAAGCTTGTCTTTCACCTTGTATTATGTGTCAAAAACTAATTCACAGGCTGTTTTTCATCGGCTCTTGCTTCAAATCTGCTAGTTTTGAGTAAAATTTCCAAATTACTTGCCAATTCACAAGTTTTGACCGGTTTATTTCTTGTCTTCATCCTTGCCATACATAATTACCTAATTATAATGCAAAATTGCAAACATAAAACCCCGGCTAACAGATTTATACCCGATTTTTGAAATGTCCCGGAGTTCTTGTGATAACTCTGAAGTGTCACAGAGTTCTTATAATAACTTTTGTTATTGACAGTGTGTTTCTTGCGCTAAATCACGGCACGTTTGGCGTGTTTTATTATTCAATGAGATTGTAAATCATTAGGAAATGCAGTACGATCATCCTTTGCACAAAAAAGTGTCTGCAAAGGATAAATAGGTGATAGGCTATCATCTACAGTAAGAATTGAACCAGCGGCCACTGATATTCAGCAGTATAATGGCTTAAACCACAAAAACAAAATGTCTCAAAACGTACACGTTGTTTTCAGTTTCACTTGTTTTAAGCAACCACCTTTCTTAAGCAGGCAATATATAGGATGCTTCCCTTACCTAAGGGCTAAGTAATTTGTATCATTTTATACCATAATAAATAAGTATATAACCAGGACAGTTTTCACATCTATGTCTTAAAAAAGTACGATACATGATAAAACTCAACTGAGCTTGACTCTAACTACCGATCTCTCGAAAAAAATTGAACTGTTCCTCCAGGTTCCAGATTTACCTAAAATGGGATTTCAGTCATTGTGCATGGGCATGCAAACTAGAATTCCCTAGGTGTTGCTTGTAAGTGTCGCAAGTTTCCTTATATAACTTAAAACAACAGACAAAACTTTGAAACATATTAATCGCTGTACTATTATTACTGCTGATTTACATAGAAAACAAATGTTTCTCAGATTGATGCACTAACATAGATCCTTAACTGAGAAAAAATATACTGTATGCCTGGATGAAAATGGTAAAGGGCAAGAAAACTGCTAGGGGCCGGAAACTGCTAGGAAACCAGTACATAAATCTTTTTTCCAGTCTACGAAATCTGCGTAAAACAAAGAAAAAATACTATGAAAAAGAAACGGGGGCAAGAAATAATATCTCTTGAACTAAAATTCACTCAAAAACCAACATTATATATCCTATTTTTTGGCGCAAAGGATGAGCGTTCTACATTTCATGATGATTTACAATTCTTGAAAAATAAAACACGCTAAAACGTGCCGTGATTTAGCGCAAGAAACACACTGTCAATAACAAAAGTTATCATAAGAACTCTGTGACACTTCAAAGTTATCACAAGAACTCCGGGACATTTCAAAAATCGGGTAAAAATCTGTTAGCCGGGGTTTTATGTTTGCATTTTTGCATAATAATTAGGTAATTATGTATGGCAAGGATGAAGACCAGAAATAAACAGGTCAAAACTTGTGAATTGGCAAATAATTTGGAAATTTTACTCAAAACTACCAGATTTGAAGCAAGAGCCGATGAAAAACAGCCTGTGAATTAGTTTTTGACACATAGTACAAGATGTAAGGCAAGCTTAATCATTTAAGTTTAATTTAACACCTAAAACTCATTTTTGAATGATGAAAATAACCATTTTTAACGAGTGTTTTTGTAGTATATACAGATGTTTTCCGACGAACTCCGTGACATTTATCACAAGAACTCCTGAACAAGTTATCATAAGAACTCCATCCTTCGTGTAACACTTCCTCCCCCGTGATATAACTCAGACAAAAAGGAAAGAAAAAAGCAAACATAAACCTTGAGTTTATGCCAGTGAATTCCATCCCAAGATAAAGAACCATTATTAATTGTTTATTACGGAAGCGTCCTGGTGCAATTTAACATGTTATATAAAAACGATAACTCCTACGTAGGAGATAAAAAGCCTACTTAGGAGTTTATAACTTTGTAACTGTCAAGTAGGACTTTTGAACTGCTACGTTAGACTTTTAATCTCCTACGTAGGACTGTAGAACTCCTACGTAGGGGATAAGAAAAGTCTAATAAGGAGTTAATAACCCCTACGTAGGACTTAATAAGTCCTATGTAGGATTTTGTAACTCCTACGTAGGAATTATAAACTCCTACGTAGGACTTTTGAAGCCAATGCTTACAGACACCTCACCCCAAGACACTCTATACTCCAGAAACCGGAGACACTGTACTTAAATATGAAGTGTCTACAATATTTCAGATTTGAAATTTCGAAAGGGGGGAGGTGGGAGTTAAGTGTCTTGTTCTATCGCAGATATACCGGTCCGGAATGTTGAGATTTGCAAAGCATTTTGTATGCATTTCTTATAAAGTCCTACATAGGAGATGCAAACTCTAAATTAGGCGTTTTATCTCCTACGTTGGAGTTATAATATCCTATGTAGGACATATAAAGTCGAATTATTAACTCATAATTAAACTTTTTTATCTTCTACGTAGGAGTAATGAAGTCCTACGTAGGACTTATAAACTCATACGTAGGACTTGTAAACTCCTACTTAGGACGTAGATACAAACTCCTAATTAGGCTTTTTTATCTCCTTCGTAGGAGTTATAATTTTTTATAGAACATGTTAAATTGGCATCAGGATGCTTCAGTAGTTCATTCTTAATTAAAGAATATGAATAAAAATGAATTTGTTTATTTTCGATTTGTTTGTTTTTTTGCTTTGTTTGTTTGTTTTTTTTTGGTCATATTTTGTCATTCAAACACTTTTGTAAAGGTCATATGGTGAATTTCTATTTAGCTAGCGGCAATTTTACACTATACTACTTCAGACTGATCTGTGCAACTTTAAAATGAAGTTGCCCCCCCCCCCCCCCATTTGAATTGTATTTATATTTTAAGTTGAAGTCGGATATCTATGTGTTTACTTTCGCAAATCAACATGTCACAACACGTAACAGTTTAACCTGTACTTTAGCAACACCAGTTGGAAAACATAGATGCTTGTTACTGCCAAGATATTGTGAAGAAGTTGTTTGGACAATTCTTCGAGGGGCTATGCAAAGTTATACAAAATCCACTATAAGTTACGAATCTTAACTTCCCTATCTAAACCGATAGCACTTTATCAAATGATTGATTATCAAATGTGCATTTACATTTTTATATACAAATGTATTGAATATTCGCTCTTTATAAGTAACGACAATTTGTTAAAGACACATCATTCACATTTTTTTTGTGGTCAAGTTAAGCATATCTCAAAAGATTGACAAAAAACCTAACTTGAAATGATCAGGATTAAAAATGCGCCGTCTTTCTATCAAATGAACATAACATATATATTCTGAAAAATAGTGATAGAATTGTCCACGAGTTATGTGGATTATTGATTATTGTTGCGACGAAGAATGCAGAATTCAATAAAAAAGATAGCAATAACAAGTTGAGGTCGGGTCTTCTTTCCTGTCAACACATCATTATTACTAAGGTGAGCATAATGTCAGTTTATTGTTAGAGGAATTGAACAGAAAACCGCGAAAGAAGTTATGAAAAATACATAAATGCAACAACATAAGCCACAACGAATTTTATTACCACAACCATTTTGACAAATAATCTGATATTTTAACAAATAAAAATACAGTAATAGATAATAAAAAGCAACCACAAAACAAAACAAAAATGCTTAATGTATTTTCATAGTTTGCATTTTTATTGCAACAGAGAACTCGTGTAATTGTTTTAACCATTCGTTGAAAATCCAATAGTTCAGGTGGTTACTAAATGGCAAAATATCACAACGTGGCCAAATAATCCTTTAAACACGGCAAAATGAAACAGTGTGTTTATTCGAAACCGGTTTGATACCAGCTGAGTCACTGTGTTAATAGATTAATAATTCTAAGAGTAAAGCAAATAATATCTACTATTATGTAAAGTCTAAAACGAAGCGAAGGATAACCATACTAAATAATATTAAATATGAAATGAAAAATATATTTGAAAAAAAGAAACATATTTTATATTAAATGTTTGTGTATAAAATAGTGTAAGCTATACAAACCTTTAGCTAATTAAACGCCTCAGCAAAATCAAGTTTATATTACATAATTCGCTTAACATTGCCTTAAAATATAAAATAAATAAAGGAAAAAAAATGTCAAGAAATTCGCATGCATTTATATAAGCTCGTGCGTTATCTACATGCCAATGATATTCAAACACCTAAATTTTCGTAACCAACTGGACATACTAGTTTCAAAAAATTGTAAATACAAGCGTTAATAATTTTTCTATAAAATATTAATATATAATTTATTTACAATTATACGTCATCTTTCAATCATACAATACCATACACATATCCTTGTATCGATTTCAACGTACTGCATAATGACATTATTATTTTTAATTCTACATTAAATCGCAGCAGGTATATTTTTTTATAGATAAATTGAATACAAAAGCCAACATTCACCAATGAATCAATGTTGTAAAATTGCAAATGAGTGTAATAAATGTGTCATGACTATAATGGACATGTATGGACTTGTAAAAATGTTTTTGAACGCACCTATCTGAACAAGATGCATATTAGAGACAAGATCTTATGTGTAGTTAAAGATATACTATGCTCAAATTTGATATTAGAAAATATTTATAATTGCTAAACAATCTCTTTGCATATATAAAATAAGTATGTTTTGACTTCACACAGAGTAGATATGTTATGTTTTAAGTTTTACTCACTATAAGTGGTCAAAGAGTCCTAACAATGACAGTTTTCTCAGAAAAGACCAACTTGACTTCAGCTGTTATAGGGAAAGCAGCTTCCCATACATAGTTCATTTTGTATCTAAGTTAGACATATTCAGTAAGAATTTAATAAATTTCAATGTAATTAAAATATTATGCTCAAGGATGAGCATAGTATATCTTTAAAAGAAACTTTCACATGTCTGGGGGTAATTTTCTACATATGTCTGTTTAATCAGTACAATATTTAATACATCACATGACATAGTAAATGGCAATATGTTGTTGATTTATCATCATTTGAGTATGAAAAACAACAAAAACAACAAAAAACAACAACAACAATAATAAAAAACAACAAAAAAGTGATTATACAAACACTCTCTGTATTGAAACATTCTGTCATTTTATTGGTACATGTACTTTAGTTTCAATCATTCATAAATAGCTTGCAACACATTTCATTTAGCAGAAGAAAAAAAATAACTTAACGAGTATTATTAAAGTATATTCTCAAGATCATTAACAATTAAAAGAAAGATATTGTTTCACTACCTTTTCTTACATTGTAGAACGGATACATTGCCTTCCTTATTATTTTTGCAGGCATTATTTTAATAAAATGGAGAACTTGACTTTCTAGATAGAGAATATTTAAGAAATAGCGAATTTCAGAATATTAGTTTTCTTCACTGATTTCCTTTTGCAGGTAAATTTGCAGATGAATTTCTTTAGGAAAAATATTCTTATAATTATGTAAAAAATGATTCTTTTCGTCTTATAATTCAAGGCAAATAGAAAGATATTGTAGACATCAATCATCAAATGAAAAGACTGAACTATATGAAGTGATCCTTTATCCTTTGTCTTATAAATACCTATCATTTACCCTTTTTACTCACTTTCGAGTGTATAATCCTTACAATGATAATTCTGTAACTTACAAAGTATATCATATATAACTATTACTACATAAAAAATGTCAATGTATTTTTTTACAAAATATTCCCAAACACCAAGGAAAAAAACGTCAATATTAATCTTATGTAACGAAAATTGTATCCAAATATCCCCATTTCTATTCAAGGTCAAGGTCTATATTGGCATAGATTGATAATTATATTTCTTACATACACTGTAATAAAGAGAAATATGTACACATCAGAGAGCAATCATGACAATGTTTTTCCTGTAGAGCTAATAAACGATTTTTATTTGTCACCATTTTCTTGTCCATATTTTTACAATTCTGTGTCTGAAAAGTTGATGAAAGCACACATATAAAGCTTTATTATTTTTTGCCATTTTTTTTAATTTTTAGGTAGTCAAAATAAGTTACTAATGTCCTTAACTGAATTTAAATTGAATGTGTACACTAAATACTTGGAAAGGAAATTATCTACCGGTATGTGTTATGCTTGTTTTCAAACCCATATATATTGAGATGTAAAATGATAAATGTTTGTAAAATTTCTAAATTAGATATGATGAACTAAATACTGGAATTCAAATACTAAAATGGTCAATTCGTGTCATAATCAGTTAGTTATATTAAGAACATTATCATCTTAAGATGAATAATTCTCTTACAGGTTGTAGTTTGATGTTAGATATCTTATCATATCTAATGAAGCTTTATACATATTAAATAGTAAAGAAGGAAAAACTGAAATAAATGTTATACCTTTAGACGAAGCAGTCGGGGACGAGGACCTTGCTCCTGAAACAATACATTGTTAATGAAAGTTACTAAACTGTATACTCAGATAACATGCAGAAAGACTAAGTTCCAATAGGCCTTGAAAAAATTTGACTTAAGCACCAAGTGTGTGGGGTAATTTATATTTTTGATCGGCAAAAAAATAAAGTGATCACAGAAGATAATCTAAAAAGAACACTTATGTCTGGAGAAAGGGCAATATAGTTGTTATACAGCGAACATTTACTATGAATGGTGGGGATGGTTGTGATGATAGTTTACATTCTATAGCACGGTTCACACATTGAATTTTACCAGAGAACAGTTAAGCCACTGCATCTTTTCTTGGCATGTTGTCAGATAGTTTACCAGTATTTGTTACCTTGATTTTTACAAGGAACTGGTAACTTCTTTACATGCCTGAGCATAGGTACAGTGACAATGACCGTATAAGGGATTTCATGATCATCAATCACTAAACTAAAAGCTAAAAGGACGGACGTTACTATGAATAGTCACCGATGTTTTTTTAGCGCTACTGAAATCACGTGACACATTGCTCCGACATTGATTTCGACTTTTGTGGACGCCGACACGACCAAACGATACATTTAAAGCGACATAATCATATTTAATAGGGGTGATCTTATGAAGAACTATCTTGTCGGCGGGATGAACTCTTCGTATTGGCGCCCTATATTTGTCGTGCTGGCGCCCTTAAGAGCCCGAGTCGAAAACACAATTAGTGATCATATAACCGTGTTTTCATCGAAGGCAGAAATCATCCAACATAGTTTACGTTTAATGTGGAAAGAAAATCAAATAATTGTTATACCTCCAGAAGATGATCCTGATCCTGAACCTAAAACCAAAAACAAATCGTTGCAATGAGGTACATAGTAATCTCTTGTTAGAAATATAATCTGACAATACAATTGAATTGTGTGAATATTTTTATGATTAAATAAATACATTCGTACGATTGATTTTAATAATATTCAACTACACAAAAAAAAAAAAGATTATTCAAATGCCATGGTAGTTTTTGCCATGACGGCAATGCAGTGTATTACCTAATGTATCATGGGAGGGAACGCTTGTATCAATTTAATTATTATTAATTCATGGAAATAAATTATAATGCCTTCCCAAAGTGGATATTATACGCTATTTTGAAAGTGATGAAGAAAGAAAACAACGACATTACCACCAGAGGGATTTGCTTCCCAGGAACTAGCACCTGAAATCATATATTAAAGAAATAAAACTTATAAAAGTATCAGCTCAATTATCTAATAAAAACAACACGACAAGTAATTATCATTAACAAGAAGGCCAAGATTACCCTAGATCGTCGCTCATCTGACCTATCGAACTCATCCTACAATTACCTAGATAAGCATTCTCCGATCAAGTTTCATGATAGGTGAGTCAAAAATGTGACCACTAATGTTAACAAGGATTATCTATATTTGTGCAGTCAGTTTTGCCTAGATTTTGACCCAGGTAAACTTGACCTAGAAATCATCAAAACAAACTTTCAGAGCAATTTCCAGGATATTTGGATCATAACAGTAGCCACTAGAGTGTTAACAAGATTTTTCTTTTTTTAGCTCCTGTGACCTAGTTTTTCATCCGAGATGACCCATGTTCGAATTCCTCCGAGCAATTACCTACACAAGGATCCTGACAAAGTTTAATGATAATTGAGTCAAAATGTGACCACTAGAGTGTTAATAAGGTTTTTCCATATTTGGGCGGTGTGACCTAGTTTTTGAACCCAGGTGACCCATATTCAAACTTGAGTTAAAAATCATCAAAACAAACTTTCAGACCAATTTCCAGGATATTTGGATCAAAACAGTAGCCACTAGAGATTTTTCTATTTTTAGCTCCTGTGACCTAGTTTTTCATCCGAGATGACCCATGTTCGAACTCATTCGAGCTATTACCTAGATAAGCATCCTGACAAAGTTTGATGATGATTGATGCAAAAATGTGACCACTAGAGTGTTAACGAACAAGTGTGGACGGACGACGGACATTCAACGATCCTAAAAGCTAGCTCAGGTGAGCTTAAAAAACCAATAGACAAATAGTTATAAAATCCAAACAACACGAAATAAGATAAAATAAAACAAAACGGCAAATAGTTGTCAATCAAAACAACCCGAAACATAATTATAAAAAATAATACAAAACGAAAAACTATATATGTTTGGTAATGATTCCTAGAATAATACATTTACACTGATGTTTTATATCATATCAAAAAGGAAAACAACTGAATAGATGTAAATCTCAATTTTCATTGTGAATACACCATTCGAATTATAAAATAACTTACCACCTATGGAGGCACTTGATCCTAAAGAACAAAATTTATTAACATATTTACTGTAATAAACAAACAAGAACTACTTTAATGTATCTATAGTAAATGTTTGACGGAAACTACTGTTGGCAATTTTTAATGTGAATGTGGACCTTACGGATGATGATATACACAATAAAAGGGGTATGTCATTCAATAAAAAAATAATAAACATTTTCCTATATATGGCCTTTGTTTTCTAAAATAATCAACTTTAAGTGTTATTTACATATAAAAATGGAACAAAACTTTAGACACAAGAGTCTTGTATTGTAGCAGAAATTTGCTTTTGTGAAACGAAATACATTTGAACCTGTTATTTTAGCATAACCAAAGTATCAAAACAATGTAATTAATAGTATCAACGATTAGTTACGGTAACAGGTATTGTCTCCTTCAAAAATTAAAAATAAGATAAAAAATATATTACGTGCCATCAAATTATTACCAGAAGAAACTTAAATTATTTTTTATCATTATAAAAGTGTTGAATTTTATATTCAGTGAGTAAAACTAAAAAGTTTAAAGTTTCACTTATTCTTATATTATTACCTCGAGGAGTGAATATATTAACTTCGAGGCGATCCCGGTCTTGCGCTGAAATTTCAAAAGTAATGCATGGATGAAAATTGGGTATTCCCGGTTTTCAAATTTTGATTTTCGTAACATTCAAATGTATAACTATTCATTATTATTAATTATTATTATTTATTATTATTATTATTATTATTATTATTATTATTATTATTATCATTATTACTATTATTAATATTATTATTATAATTATTATTCTCCTACACATTTTGTTGTTAGATCTATATTTCATTTTTACTGGAATTATTGTTACTATTAAAATTTGAGCTTCTTTCTTTACGCAATAACGGTCAATGTCATTACCCTTGTACATGTCATATTTGATTTATTTGTATGCGATTCCAACTTCACACGGTCATATTATTGCTACATAAAATTGCAAAATATTTCTCAGGAAGAATAACATATTATGAAAGCCAAATAGTGTCAAATGAAATAGAACAACATATTGGAAAGGCGTTACAACGCGAATCAAATTGCGTACTCGCATAAAAAAGGCGTTATAAAGGAACTTAAAACGTAATGACACACTTAAAGGCGTAGTTACGCAAAACGCATGACGTTATAATGCAAATAAAGGTGTTATAACACAAAAAACGCGTAATTTAACGCGAAAGACCAGCGTGCAACGAAAACTGTGAAGATTATGTAAGTATAGCTATACTATCCATACGCACATGACTTCCCTTTTGTTATGTGCACTGATCCATGCTATTTTTACAACTGTTCCGATATAAATAAATTTAACCAATTTTTGAAACTATGTCACACTAAGATTAGAAATTTCTTTACAATAGGGGCATGTTTAAAGTAATTGATATAATGCAAGAGAATTAAGAGTAACTGTATTTACACCCTAATGAACCTACTAGTCACTAGTCACCTTAAAGAGGCATTATTAATGTATTGCAAATAGTTTATATCATTACTGCGCAAATGAAAACATAGTTATTGTAAATTGTGTTTGATTCATATGCAACAAAATTTAATGACCAGGCTCGATATCGGCAGGTAAATAGCATAACGCATAATCAGTCTTTAAGTCATTACTTCATAAAGAAGTCCTTTCACACCTATTCACTATCACCTTTTTGACGACTGCAATGGTGAAAAAACGCCCTTTTTAGATCCCAAACACTTGTTTTTGTTTGAGAAATGTTGTTAAATATGTTATCATATTTTATCCGCCGACAATATCATCGCGTAGAAGATTTTGGACTTTTAAAAGGACAAAATTAGCCACAGTTCGATCGGAGGGTAACGTGTAACCAACGCTGAAAAGCCTTTCACTCTATATAATCCATTGAGAAGTTGCAGCACTTTGAAATCAGTTTTGATGGAAAAAATCAACGCAAAATAGTGATATTTGGCAATTTTGAGATGTCCCCTCGTTTCAATGGTAACAGAAAATTTCAGATTGAGCATGCCGTTACAAAGGCTATGGGCCAACCAGAACACATTTATGCTCAAAATCATTTCTACCTACTCATTTCTACTATTCGCACCTGGAATTCTCTTCCTGAAACTTTTCGATCTAGTCCAACTTTAAACTCATTCAAGTCAAAATAACCCCGAATATCAAAAGACCACCGTCTTACTATAATACAGGCACACGTTAAGATCAAATCCTTCACACAAGATTAAGATTAGGATGTAGTTCATTGAATGAGGATCTATTCAGAAGGTCTATTGTGGAAAGTCCAACATGCACATGCGGAATGAGAGAAACTGTATCTCATTTCTTATTGCAATGTACCAAATACAGAAATATATGCGAAAGATTTCTCACTAATATTTAAATTGTCCGGCTACAGTAAATAATCTCTTTTACAGCAACGAACATCTCTCTTCTGATGAAAACAAAATCCTCTTTCAGAATGTCCAAAAATTCATTACACAATCAAAGCGCTTTTTGCAAGAAATACTATCATTGTGAATAAACTTGGTCTTTCCGTACGCTCATATTTCCTTAATGTTAACCTTATTTATTAAACTCCGATATATTCAATCATACCTTTCCTTACATTCTTCCTTTCTTTTAGCATTTCACCATAATTTACCTTAGTTTCTCTATAGTGATAATTCAACAATCAATTATTCTCTAATCCTTTGTTGTACATTCAAAGAGCTTACATCTAACCGCAACATGTTTGTATCTTTATCTTGAAAATTACTTTTACTGGAGAGGAATTGATATAGAATTGTTTTACTTATTTTCCAATCCAGGCTGAATTGCATTGTTGTGCAATATTTGTAAATGTCATTTATGTATAATTTATTGAATAAATAAAGTTTAAACTAAGGCTATGGACCAGTCAACATTTGTGCTAAATTTAAAACATGATGAATATATAGTTTCATAGCAATTTGAACTTGTAACAGGAAGCTGTTCAATGAAAAAAGCCATTTTCACAAAATGCTTATGCAGTAAACAGATGCACCATGACGTCATCAATTATCAACGAACAACAGGATATCAGGGAATGTGTAATATAAATTACAACGTATTCCCACAAGACAAAAACACCGTAACTAGTAGAACCAAGAATCTATTATTATGTGCGTACAAGTACCAAGACAGGACTGGTGTTAAGTGCCGCGCTTTGAAAATGAGAACCAGTCCGGCTGTAGTCGGAGTCATTCGGTAATATGTTGGTTCCCATATTCAAAGCGCGGCGGATTTGAATACGGCAAAGCTTGGGAGCCAATTTTGAATTTTTCGAAAGATTTTGTAATTTGTAATTTGATGTTTATGTCGCCTGTTGCGTTGTTTATATTGTTGTTGACGTTTAAAATTGACCATCATCGTAGAGAATAATATCTTCTGTGACAACAGGATTATCTGAAAATATTGGAAATCGAATAAAATACATGGTGACTTTGACAGAAGGTTTGTGGAATTTTATCTTGTCTATTATTACAGACTTTGAAATTAGATTTTTCTTTAAAACGCTTATTTATATATATGTATATCGGAATGAAAAATATACATTTTATTTGGATTTTAAAGGCGATTTAAGCTCCACAGCCGAAGCGTATGTGTGTCATACCATCGAATGTCGAAATCCAGCCTTGTAGATTGATAAAAGTTTCACATTTACGCATGTCTCGGGTTGCGATTCAAATGTGCTGGAAAGGCTTTTCTAACAGTTGTAACAGTATGCAGTAACAAAAAAAGATAAAGTTAATATTTTCTATCTTGTCTTGTTAAATATCTTCTACAAAAAAAATAAATAAATAAATAAAAAAACCAACAACAACAATAATAATAATAACTTGGTATTCAGTGTCGAACCCCCTTCCCCCACACACAACTAGAAATAATTAAAAAAAAGTAACGACCGTTGCTTTAAAGAATATTTAATTAAATAAGAAAACTTACCAAGTTTGATGTCCAAAACGTTATACATATAATAATGACGCAATACATGTTCAGTGTCTGTTTGAAATGCATGTTCACTTAAGTAAATTTGACTTTCTATTGAAGGCTGCCATTTTTACATTATCAATTAACGACTATGAATTACGTTCACGAAAAGTTCGTGCGAATACAATTTACACACACCTTGCACTGCCTGAAGAATTAAATTTTCAATAAGATCTTATTATCATTATATGTGTTTAATAATTTATCTGCTTTTTTACTAAATCGTCGTATAAGTAATAAACAGCAACACCGTAGGGAACGTGTTACAGTATCGCGTTTTTAGGCTACAGTATACAATTTTTAAGATGGAGGATTATTTGTGGGGAAGGCAGGTTGGTGATTTTTATTCCAGTCCGCACTACAAGTAGTTTAGTTTCTAACAGATGTTTTTGTGCTTAGACTGTAAGGAACGGGATCCGGTATCTAGTCATATATTTCCTCATGCACCGCAGATTTATCTCTAAATTGGCTCATTATTATGCAAATTTGACAGTTTGAAAATTTGAATCAAGAGAACAACGCATTTTTCTCCAGTTCGGACATAATGTAAGAATACCTACAAAAAATAAGCCTACAAAAAGTCCTTTGAGTTTAGAAACGTTTATAAAAGTAAACGACCAGTTGAACTTATTTTCCTGATCGTCAAATGCGTTTGAAAAAATAAACAATGTTACAGTATAGAGCTAGGGGAATTTTGCAGAGTTACAGTATAAACCGTGCGACTTTTAATCGACTTTGTTACAGTATATACCCAGATTTCGGTTACAGTTTAAATACGAGCCAAATTTCAAATTAAGTACGTGTATCCATTATTTCTATAAAAATAAGCTATACCTTTCTATTTAATATATTCTTGAAAGGTTGTATTACATTTTTTCTTCAGCAAAAATGTAATAGTTTTTTTTTTCTTACTTTATGTACATATATTCAGATTAAGACATTTTACAGAATTAGTAATGTCCTATGTAGGGACTGTTTTCAACAACATAAACCGTTATCAAATTTTATGTAGGGAAAAATATTATTACTTCCATTACACATTATAATGCCATTTAGTCATAAAATAGAGAAAAACACAATCCTCAACGAAAGTCCAACACGGCAAAATGAAAATGTTTCAGGCTCGATTTAATTGAGTTCATGGACGGTAGTGGTAACTGCAAGCTACCGTCCATGCGTCCTCGCACCGGCTTAAGCAGAATTCATCATTTAACATTTAGATTTTTTAAACATCTGTAGATGTGTTCATAAGGCGGTTATCATGGAACCTTTAATGTAACACGTTAGTGCCATTCAATGAAAAGCGTCATATTGTCCTTCAGGTTAAAAATTGAGTGTGCCCTTAACGTGAGTACAATAGGTTAAATTAAAAATAAAATAGAATTTCCCTCACGAATTTCTAAAATATTTGTACGATAGTCTTCGGATGATTAATTCTTAAAGAATAAATAAAGAAGATATGTAAATATATTTTCAGTGAACGCTTTGAATATATTGTCCGCCAGTTAATCGAATACAACTGATTGTATGTCCCAAAAAACTAAATCTATATGTGCCGTGCATATAGATTAAAATTCAGGATAACAGAAGTCAAGAAGGTCAGATCATATTGATCGAGTAATACCTTTTATTTCTATTAAATTATGTCATGCATTTGTATGAACTGGTCGGACAAAAATATATAATTATCACATTCTTAATTGTACATCGTACCACGGACTTCAAAAGTCTACCAGGAGCTCAGTTTTTCGTAATTTTATTTTATATTTTAACGGAATTTCATACACGATAAACAGGCAGAATGTTTTGCAATAATATAGCGGAAAACGTAGAGGTCTGGGAGAGGACAGTCGATTTATGACACTTCCTTTGATACGCGTCGGACTAACTTTGAATCGGCATAACTGTTTTTATAGTCAAGAAATTTACATGCGGTTTAAAGCACATGATAGGGAATTCATTTATGGAGGGAACCGTGTCAGGGATTTTTTGTTTGCTTAATCAGGGGCTTAATTATCTTTATCTACGTAATATGTATGGTGAAAAAAGTCGTATTCAATGTTTTACATTTGAGATCAGATAGAAAGACATTTGAGAACAAATAGAAAACAATCTGAGACACGGTTCCAAAGATATTATAATTATGTTTATATTCCAAAAAAATTGATGAAAAAAAAAAAAGAAATAATGACATTGACATGATGATTTAAGATAATAGAATTTTCGTTCAAAATAAATTACAGTGGAGCCTTGCTAATCCGAACCCTTCTAATCCGAAATCCTTTTTTACCCGAACGAAGTGTCCGGTCCCGATTTTATTCGTTCTATTTTTAATAGTATAAAAACCTTTCGGATCCGGAATCTGTCTACTCCGAATTTCGGACGATTTTTTCAATTTTTGTTCTTATTTCCTTTAAATATTGGATTAAACTTAAGAACAATAATAATAATTCTGTTTTGTGTGACATTTTTATACAACAATGTACACTATCACAATTAAATGTTAATAATTGGGTGTTTAGAATTAAACAAACTCTTGGCAATCTAGGTCTTTCACATATATTTGATATATTTAATCCTAATTTGAATTATTTTTCTATTATACAAAGACGATTGCGTGACCAGTATATTCAAGAATGGAGTTCAAGTTTAAATACCATGCGCAAATTAGAATATTATGCAAAATTTAAAAATGTGTTAGAATTTGAACCTTATCTTAATAATATTGTCAACGATATTTCTAGAATCCAGTTAACTAGATTCCGTTTGTCTTCGCATAATCTTGCAATTGAAACTGGTAGATTTAATAATATAGAGAGAAATGAAAGATTGTGTTTATTTTGTAATCAGAAACAGATTGAATCTGAATATCATTTTTTATTGATTTGTCCAAAATATAATAATATCAGAAAAGATTTACTTCCAAAATATTATACATCTTGGCCTTCACTTAATAAATTTGTTGCATTAATGAATAATAATAATAAAACTATTCAAGTAAAATTAGCAACTTATATTAAAGAGGCATTTAAAGTAAGAACATTGGCTATTGAGCTAAATGAATTTTTACAGACAAACAGTGCTTAATTGTAAATTTATTTTCATTGTATTGTAATGTTTATATGTTATGTGTTTAATTAATCATATGCATTTGAATTATTATTGTACATTTATATGTTATTTTGTCTTGGCCATATTCTATAATTATTTACTTGTAAATGGCCCAAGGCATATTTATGCCGATTGCTAAATAAAGATTGAATTGAAAAAAATATTTTACTCTAAAATTTACCTCTCGGATCCGAACAGATTTTGCCAAATGTCACACCTTCATTCAAAATAACAAATAATCGCATATCTTGCAGGTGTAAACATACACCAAACTGATAAGTGTTATTTCGCTCGATTAATGGGTGAAACTTATGATCTGCGAAGGTGTGAACATTACAATTAGCTTACTTTAATATCTTCTATAATTGCTGAATTGGTTGTTTTTCGTCAGCTTCTATAAATATTTTGATATAATGCAATAGAAATATCTTTTAGTCCTTTGTATTGGATTCAATGATACGTGATTGAGTAATGAAAAGTAATGGAAACTGTCAGTGAATTCGGATAGTCGCTGACTCGGATAAGAGTAAACAACAATTGACAAATGCTGTTACGAATATCTCATCATGTATCGGCCTCCTGCTTAACATCGTAGGTTAACTTACCCTTGAACACATAATATTTTTGCTTATTTATTTTTTTTATATATATAAATTCACATGTATTAAAATGTACGAAAAGAGACTGCAAAAATGAAATATCTAAATTGCAATTTTAAATGCATTCCCGTTTTCCTTCAACTATTTTGCAAATAACATGAAAAACATGTAAAAAAAAACCTTCTAATTCGGAAACTTTTCTAATCCGGAAACCTTTCTAATCCGAACTTTTCGTCTGGTCCGTACGAGTTCGGATTAGACAGGTTCCACTGTATTTACAAAGGCATTTTTTCAATTATGTTATTTTTTTATGAAGATCAAAGACATTAAATGGACAAAATTTAAATAAATAACAATTATTAGTTAAATGACTTGGTTTAAATGACACATTATGGTAGTACCACGAAAAGGGTCTGTTGTCGCCTTAAACTTGTGTTCTGCACACCTTATCAATATAAGTAATATTTCTGCAAAATAGTTTTAATTTCTTTCTATCAGTTCAATAGATACAGAGCGGATACAAAACATTGGTATTAAAACATGATGACTAAGTGTGACAATATACGCCGAAATTCTTTTTGGCGTATAAAAAGAAACTGGAAGATTTTTGTACATTGATAGAAATGATTGCAAATGTAAACTTTGCATATATAACTCAGAATTGAATCAGAATACCACTTCCTTTTTATGCTGTGTAGTTTATACTGATATAAAAGTCAAAAACATTTCATGACCTAATTAGAGACATTTCCGACTTTATTGTCAACTACTAGTAAAGGGCTTATTCTTAAATTTGCTCACTTTGTTCAAAATGCTTTTCAGTTGTGGCAACTGTCTCCTGAACACGTAAGTACTTCTCAATGTTTATATTGTATTGATTTTTTTTAATTATTGTATGCTATAGTGTTTGCACATGTTAAACTATCCGCCATATTTGTCACGATGTTCTGTAAATGGCCAACGGTAATGATTATTTGCTAAGTTGTCAATATAAAGAATGAAATTAAACTTAATTTGGTATTAAATTAACTTTAAAGCTCCCTTTGTTTTGTGTAATAACACCTTTTAATTCGCATTACCACGCCGTTTGTTTTGCATAATACACTTGTTTTGCATAAAACACTTTTATTTTCGAGTAATAAGACCTTAACAGGTTTTTTTTTAATTTAAGCTGTTTTTTTATATTATTAGGCTTTCGTATAGTATAGAATTTTCATGGATATTTTTATTCAGAAATTATTATTTAAATTGTATTCTTTTATATTAAGTGTAGATGAGCCCGAAGCATCCATTGCAATTAGCTCTGATTGGCTATTATTTTTAGATCATTCAATTTAAGAGATTATGTTAGTTACCATATATAAATATTTCTGATAAATGTGTAGGAAATTTGGAAATTTGTTCCACAGTTGTCATTATGACACATTGGTCCAAGTGGCAGCCATCTTGCATTTTTGCTAGTATAAATTCAAAACAGGGTTTGCTATATTTTTGGTAATGTTAGTTTGATAATACAGAAGCATTTAGATATTAACAAAAAAAAGTATGACTTGACTTTTCGTGTATGCCCTAGATGGTAAATGTTGTTAAAAACAGACAACTACTATCAACTCAATACTGTATGTATGAATTTTTCGTAAAGTTTTTAAATATACTAATTAAGGATTTTTGTTTCGTGAAAAATATGCATCATAATTATAGTATAATACTCTTACCATTAGCGATAGCAACGTTGCGATACATTTCAGTTATTCCTCTGCCACAATCTACCAGAAGCCTTCCAACACCTAATATCCCTTCTGCATGTTGAATTGAAAAATATAGATCAGTTTATATTATTTCAAACAGTTGAAACATTATAAATAATATAAAACGTGAACAACCAGATATTTTAAGACAATAAAAACAACGGAAAAACTTACTTCTGATATTTCAAAATATTGAATAATAATGAATTTAGTAAGCTTAAGAAATGTAATGTTACTTACTGTGTAAATTAGACTGAATATCAAAATAACATTCAAAATATTATTTCATTATATAATTTCAGCACCTATTTGAAATTATACAAATAGATACCTTAAACCATTACCTATTGCTCCTTCTACATGCATAAGCTACAACCCCTAAAAGGAGATCTTATTAATTCTTTAAACAACGTGCGTATACTTTGTAAAAGGGAAATTAAATGGACGAAAGTGTAACGAAATGCAAGTGTAATGGAAAAAAAATCGGGTAGTTTACATTCAATTCCCTTTAAGTATATAGATGTTTTTCAAAGGAATATAATAAGTCAGCTATGTTACTGATATTAAGACGTACGCAGGATTTGATCATTCTCTTGGCTCTTTTCAAATTCTTTTCTCTTAACTTCAAGCTTTTCATTTTCCTTTGCTAGCTTTTCAAGTTTTTCTTTGTTCTCTTTTTCAGAAGCAGCTGCTGTTTTTTCTATGTCTCTTACTTTTGCTTTTTGCTTTATGAGCTCTTTAGTAGTCTTCATTTCTTCATTGTATTTTTGCCAAATATCCAATTTCTACAGAGTAAAATAAAAACAGAGTAAAATAAAAATTTATGCTTTTTTCCATTTTATAACTTTTTCAACTTTAACTCAAGTGGATGAACTTAAAAAACACCTTTTGAGCAACAATTCCCTTTAGCCGAGATTGTTTATTTACAGATTTTGCAAAGGGGTGATATCTCTCTACATAACATGTGTATATGGGACACAATTATTGTATCGTATGTTTGTTGTTACAAGCTTTTTCATTTAGATTTTTAACAACATTAAATAAATTGCAGGAACTGAAACGAGGGCTCGTCCCGCTTTTATTACCTATTTCGAGGGCCGTCCGTGGCCCAGTGGTTAAGGTCGTTGACTTCAAACCACTTGCCCCTCACCGCTGTGGGTTCGAATCCCGACAGGGACTTTGGATTCTTTCATGTGAGGAAGCTATCTAGCTAGCTTACGGAACGTCGGTGGTTCTACTCAGGTGCCCGTTCGTGCCTGAAATAATGCACGGAAGGGCACCTGAGGTCTTCCTCCACCAGTAAAGCTGGAACGTCGCGATATGACCTATACTGTGTCGATGTGACGTAAAACCCAAAACAAACGAACAAACAAAACCTATTTCGAACGAAACGATAGGATCTGTACTTCATACAAATGATCACAATATCTCTTCAATTAAGACAAATAACTATGATGTGTACACTCATATTCATTCCCGAATCTTTTATTTTTGTTTAATTTGACTCTGCAAATAAGACATTTTTACAAGTCTAACAACAAATATTTCAGACCACCATTGTGTTAAAATGTGCTGGTGAAAAGCTGTAAGTCATGACATTTGTTACGAAAGTGCATTATTTGATGAATGGCATTTTTAAACATTGGCTTATCTGTACGATATATTGGTGAATATTAATTTGTATTTTTTATGTTTTTTCAGATTTTAAAATTTAAATTAAATGTATATTACTTCAAACGTCAAACTAAGAAACAAATAATTATGCACCTTATACTGACCTATTCATTAGAGTTTAGTAGAATGTTTTGGTGCTTGGTCATTTTTCAATTACTTGAACCTGTATAGCATTACTGTGTATCATTTACCAGTGCTTTGTATTATATATAGTATATTATCATATCAGAAATCACACCGCAGCTACATCATGTACATGCATCATTTACAGTGATTTGGCTACTCCTATCAACTGGACCAAAAAGGAATCCGTAAAGAACGCCTAAAATTGAAAATATTGCAAGCTTGGTTTGATTGAGCCCGTAATTGACGGTACTGGAAGGAGCAAGATACCGTCCATGTCCCCTAGCACTGGCTTAAGTAAAATTCAAAATTTCATCATGGTAAACATAAATGGTGATATATTGAATATAGAAACATCCATTGATGTGTCAATACAGCGGTTAGCATTGAACCTTCAATATGACACGTTGATAAGCGGTCCCCTTTTGAAAAACATGCGTGTGCCCTAAACGAGATATCAATGCGTGGAAATTTATTACATCGTTGTTCAAAATTCTAGGCTGAAAAAATATTTTTTAAAAATTGTGGAAGAGTTGGCCATTGTTATGTATTTGCACAGCCATATTATATGATGCTTTACGATGATATGTATAAGATAATACATAAGATAAACTACATACAAGAGTATTCCGCTAATTATGATATAACAAAAATTTGTAACAAAATTACCAACGTCCTAAGAGATGTGCTACATAAAGCACAAAAACTGTGCTGTTTCAAAAGATTGAATAATTGATCCGGAGTTTCTGTGCAAAATTTTGAATAATGCTAGGTTATGCAATTAACAAAATTCGTAAAAGAAATATGTTTAAATCACTCCTGTGTATGTGTCAACATAAATATATTTGTATAGCTGTGATCAATATTTTAAAGCCACAAAATGTGACAAATAAAATATAAAGACATGGTTTGGTCTGTTACACGGTGTAGTTCATGTCCGGTTCATAATTTTTCATCGATCAAGTAATGTGTGCGATTCAGCAATTACATTTTATTTGCGTGGACTTGCACGATCAGAGAAGTATGGACTAGACACAAAATGTTCCATATAAAAGACCATGTTCAGCTTTGACCTATAAGTTTGACCTTGACCTTGAAGGTAGGAGTCCGCGTGTTTGGTATGACACATAGATTTCCATAATTTGTGCAAAGTAATTTCAAAATCTCTTGATCTTTTAAAAAGTTATGGACTGAACACAAAATATTCCCTTTAACAGACCATTTTGTGATTTGACTTCAAAGTGTGATCTTGACCTTGAGGTAGGCGATTTGGTGTTATACATAACACGTCGTCATATTACTATTGTGAAAAGTTGTGTACATTTGTTTTCAAATGTGTGACACGTGTTTTATGCACACTCATAGGAAATTCGTATCTTTTTGTTGATAAATACTATGCCTTAACATTTGGCATACAGGATTATCCAGTAGAAAATATATATACAAGTTTTATGAGTCATGCACTTAGGGAGAAAAATGTTTTCACCTTCGATGTCATAAAGTATCAAAGGGAAACTAAAATAAAGCATTTCTCAGACAAGATTTTTGATTGGGTCATTACCCTTAAAGCTTATTAAAAGATTAACTTTGATTACTCAAACACATTAACATTTTGGCCTATACTGCCCGACATTTGCGGTGCCCTGCTATTAACCCAACACCATGATCCTTGATAAAGGTTGATTTTTTGTCAAATGCCGACAGTGTTTCTTTGTTGTCTTAAAACAATTTTTATATTGAATCATATTTCGATACCTGTAAGCTGTTTTAGATATTGAATTCAAATGAGATAGGCAAGTTGTTGCTGTATGACGGTTAGTATTTAACGTGTATATCATATTCTGATAGGCATTACAATTTAACTGAATATCTTTAGCTGTCTCCGTTATTCAATGTTATAAACAACATGTCCATATAGTTTGTTTGTGCTAGTGTGACTTTAAATGCTTTATCATTGATGAATAACTAATAATGTAAGCATATTATATAAAAATATTACCTCGGGGCCTAAGTTTGTACATTCTCTATAAGCCTTTTCCGCTTTATCATAATCATAATGAAAACATGTTTCTCCCCAATCTTCAAAGTACTCCTCTTTCCGAAGTTTTTGTCCGATTTCAGATACTGCAGACTGGAGAGCTTCTTTGCATTTGTCTTTTTGCATCTCTTTAAACATGTTTTCTATATCAACCTGAAAAATACATAATTCCATTGAGAAAATTTATAAAAAGAGGATCTGCATACAGCCAAGAATAAATTGTAAACGCCAGTTACGTTTTTTATGTCAGGCAGTATTATCTATACCATGTAATGAAATTGTCCTTCGTATGACGGTTCACAAATTGGCGATCGGAAAGATCGTTGTAGAAAGGTAACTTTTGCTATTGGTGAAATTATTCAAGATCATGTAACTCCATTTTTATGGTTTTATATCATAAATATAATGCTCAAATGAAGATTTATCAATATTGTAAGTTCCAAAAAGCGCTACTCGTAAAAATATTACCGAATACACATTTCAAGTAATAAAAGGAGGTTATTAGAAATTTATTTTCAATAAAGTCTAAGTCAAATTTTTAAATAAGAAATGAATGCGTATATTTTCGGGATTACATATAATGTGGACGAATGTTTGCAGTACATATTTCACATATTCTTCGATGTTCGAAATTTGGTTTAGAAGCATAATTATATACATATGTGTGGTAACCTTGATTAAACATATAGTCTCTTTAAATATGCATTATTAGAAAACTACGATACACTTTCAGTATAAGCGTTAATATTTACAAATGATGGATATTGTAGTATTAGCTAACGGATATCTAATATCAGGTTTCATATATCTCTCCATTTGTATCACATATTATGAATTGCGAAAAAGTATTTTATAAAAAAACAAGACAGGAAGAAAACAGCCGCTTTATTTCTCTTACGAAGTTCGGAAGGTGGTACCTTAGCCAAAGTTTTTATAATACATGATTTATATAAATAATACATGCAAATGTTGAGTTCCGTACCTTGAACTCCTTTTCATCTACTTCAATGCTTCCGGAAATAGTGAAACACTTTTCATAAATATGTTCCACAGCAGCATTCTTTTCCATTTCATGAAGTCCCATTAACGTTTCTGGTTGAATCGGTAGAGGCCATTTTTTTCTCATCTCAGTTTTATATGTTTCTAAAGCTGATTGTTTTATAACATCGTTCTTTTCTTTAAGTATTTCTGATAAGGATTTCGAAAGCATTCTTAAATCGTCATCATTGACGTGCTTGACTGTTCTTCGAATATTTTCTGCCAACACTGAAACATATAAGGCGTCGTAAGATGCCTTTTTATGTTGCTATATATTATCCGTCCTACGGGAAGTTTTAAAATTATTATTGCTTTGTAAACATTACGTTGTATCTTTAAAAACTTTTAAAAGATATGAAAACTTTACCCCAAATGAATTTAGGCATATAGGAATGATCGAATATGTATGATTCAAGCAGTAATTCTCAAAACGAATGACGTAATATTAAGAGATGTCAAAAATACCGATTCCATTAATTGTCTTGTTTGACGCAGCACGTAACGGCTTGGTATTGTTAGTCAAGTACTTTTTCATCTCATTCCTGCCTTGAAGAAATTCTTCACAGAGTTCTGAATCAGGTGTGTTCGCCAAATCAATCACTTTACCCTCTTTTGGTTTGACGAGCGTAAATGCTTTTGTCTGTCGAAACGTGTCTAAAAGTTCAGGGTTTTGTCTAAATAGTTTCTGAAATTCTGTGTCAGGACATTCCGGCTGGTCGAGATCGAAGTCCCTCAAGACAGAAACAAGGATTGGTTTTTCTAGAACGGCATTTCCTTTCCTATACCTATTGAACAAACTGCATACAAATCTGATTTGTTAAATCAAATAAAAATTCAATTCAATACATGGCATTGTGTCAAAGCCTTTTAGCAATTAATTACATATTTTGAGTGTATGACATCACGACCCATTGACACTTCGACCCCTGGACACCTCGACCCCTAAGACATCTCGATCCATGACACTTAGACCCTAAGACACTAAGACCCCTTAAATTTACTGGACATTTCGACCCCTTCTTCTATAATGTACATGAAGACGTTAACTTAGAAAAAATAATGTGCATCAAGACGTAAATATAGTAAAAAAAGTAATTTTGATTACAAGTTTGATTATTATATATACAATCTAAAAGATAAACTGAATAATAAGTGAAACCATATTAAAACCGTTATTTGTTATACACAATCATTCAAGTCAAGTATTTAATGTAGAGAATAGAAACACACACACTACATTTTAACAGAAAGTATTAATATATACATGTATTATGTATGTATGTATACATAATATCATAAATAACAGTAATTGCAATATATATAGTAAACGTTATTTGTTATTATAAAAATATCTATCAGTCGTTTCGTAATTCACCTTTTTCTAAGCAAATATTGTCATTATTTCCATGTGCATTTTTTAAATTATTTTCTGTAAATCGAACAACTAATTTCAGAAAATCTAAGGCTTTTTGGTTCTTTAAAACTTTTAATACTATATTTTAATGAAAAACATGTACGTGTATTATTATACATGAAATAAAAATATTTTTTTCGAAGACTTGAGTATGGAATAAATTAAATATCAAGAACTTGAACTTTTTAATCATTAACAAAGCATAAATAATTACGAAAAGTAACAAAAAACTTCCGAAAATTGACTCAAGTCAATATTGCCAAAAATATAAGTCATGATAAAATTAAAAAACAAATATCCTTATCTGCCACTGAAGTCACAAGCAAAATAAAAATATCACCAATACCAGTACCGTATTAATTTACTAACAAATAATTTTTCATAAAACATTTGTGTTAGATACATTTTAATATATATAATTATTACATAAATGTTATCGATGTATCAATACGCTTTTATCATGCCTGTTTGCCTATGAATTAATATGTTATATGTTTATATATCTTAATTAAATAATTAAACTAAATGTTACATAGAACAATTTCTTTCCCAATCAGAAAATCCCGTTTAAATGAAATGAACAACAACAACAATTTGGTAATTGGCAGAATGTTTACCACAGATGTCAATTACCGATAATTAAATTACCAATGACACCTGGCTGATTTTTATTGGGCACACGTTTTCACACCATTTATATAATGTGGTTAAGAGGAACATATATTGACTTCAAGATTTTAAATAGTTTTCTTAACTTGTTATTGTCGTAAATATTGTTTTTGAAGCTTATTTTGGCAATATTTCACTCAAACTATGATAAAGAAAATGTGTATATGAATTGTGAGATGTAATAAAACATTTGGAAATTAACATATTTTTCTTTACAAATTATATGAAAAATAGATGAGACTGTTTATTTTTTGTCAATATAATTACAATTCAACATATCATAAGTTACATTTTAGTTGTAAATTACATTGTACATGTAGTTCTCGAAATACGTTTAAAATAAAATTAATTGAATTTTCAAATTTCAACCATTTATTGCTTGATTGGTATTTTGAATTCATAATGTAAATACCACAAAAAATGAGAACATCGCTTCTTTGACAAGTCAATTCAATATGTAACATAAATTAAGTAGACAAAATATGTAAAATAATTCATTGCCAATATAACAAGCATGAGTTTGTCACAGAAAAATAAACTAAATCTTTACAAACTTGTAGAAATGAATTAATACGCAATACACAAATCGCGCACTTTCCTTATTATCATTATCATAATTCCTCCATTACTTTAAGTCTGGGGGTCTTTTTGATACATCATGCCTATCTGTTATTCTAAAGTGCAAAAATTGAGATAGGGGTCGAAATGTTTTACCCACTAGGGATCGAAAAGTCATATTTACCCACTAGGGATCGAAAAGTCATATTAAAAGGGGTTTAAGTGTCAAGGGGTCTATAAGTCATCTTGATATCGTAAGCCGTCGAGAAGTCAAGGGGTCTAAATGTGTTACTTGCACATATTTTTTATGTAGAGAAACTGAACTTTCTATCTCTACTTTTAGTAATAAAAACATCATAATTGATAAATCAAGAAAAAATAATTAAGACATACAATGAATGATATCCCTTTTCACCTTTTATACTTATAATCACTTCAAACGTTTTTGAAATTGTGAAATATATTATGTTCTTTCATTTATAATTATAATAAAAAAAAAAATATTAAAAGTTAAATTAACAGATTCAAGTGAAGGGAAGCACACACAAGTGTATTCAAGTTCATTAAATTCAAAGATACTAGAAATAAACATAATCTTAAGTAAAACAAACATTTTTTGTGCAACATTAATAATTGTAATAGACTAAGTAAGATGAGCATGTATATTAAATAGATCTTATAAGAGCCTTACATAAAATCACTAGTTTTAGGTCATAAATATCTGTCAGTACAACGTTTATAAATGGGTGCGTTTATTTATTTAATTTCATATTTCAGAAACAAACTTCATTTCTCACTTAATGACACCTTTCTTATGGAACCTATTATTAAGTTTTTATCCAAACATGCGACTTTAAATATAACAGTTACGTGTTATACCTATACGATAGACGAATTTACACAAGAATGGCGAACTAGTATCAACAATATGGAGGTTTTAAATTTGTATAAATATGTAAAAGATACATTAGAAATGGAACCCTATTTAAACAATATCGCATCCCGTATCTTACGGATCGGATTGACAAAGTTGCGTATATCAGCACATAGTCTAAGAATCCAGACCGGCAGATATGGGAGAGATAGATTAGAGAGAAATCTTCGAGTATGTCAAATATGTTATGGTAATGAAATAGAAGACGAGTTCCATTTTGTTTTTAATTGGCCGGCATATCATTCTATTAGACTAAAGTATATCAAGAATTTTTTTAGAACAAAGCCAAGTATGTTTAAATTTACACAATTGTTGTCATCTAAAAACAAGTCAAATATTGTCATGTTAGCAAAATTTATACAATAATCACTAGAAATACGTACGAGTAGATAATTACGATCAAACAACTGATTTACATTTAATTGTTTGTAATATATCATTTGTAAATATGATGCTTGTTAATGACAAATATTTAAAAAATTATAGATTGTATAAAGCACATCCTAAATGCATTTTTCAGAAATATATAATTTATAGCAAAGAAAATTGTATATATCAAAATTGTGTGTATAAGAGTGTGAGCAAACGATGGATTAGAATGAGCATTTAAGGAAAATCATCAACAGAAAGAAAAGCAATTGCTTATATCGGGCGAATTTTCATATTATGCTACATTCATTAAAGAAAAAAGTAAAGTTAATGTTATTACGAAAAATGCATATTATATGATAGTAATCCAACGAGTGCTCAATGATTAAATTATAACTTATACTTTTAATATGGCATTGTATTTTGCATATGAAACAAATAGAAACATTTGGTATCTTTTTTCATCAATCGAATTGTTTGTAGAATATTAAATGGCATGAAAAGCATAAAGCAAGCGAAATAATATATTATTAATATTATACTGATTTAAAATTAAATAATTCAAACGCAAACATGCTATTATAAATTTTCGCGAAACGAATTGATACCATGATGTTTCTTATTACTTCTGATGATATATGACATGAAATAAAACAAACATGGTTACATGTATTGTCCATCACCATAAATATGAGATCAATTTTAAATTAATTTATTATATTATTATATCCTAATCTTTTTAGTATACATAATTGATACTTGTCACAATTGTATGTTCTATGTACACCTATATGTTAAATTTGTAAAATGTAGTGGCTAGTCACTAGAAACTGTAAAGTTTATGTGAAATAAATTTGTTCGTTCGTTTGTTCGTTCCTATACAAATGATACATACTTACTGTACATGTTACAATTATAACCAAGCGCCTGCAAATTAATGTGTCAGTCACTTATCATTTCACTATTGATTTAATTCAAACTATGGATTTTGACCGATATTTCGTTGAAAAAAATAAAGATTGTGTTTAGTACAGTAATTAAATAAAAAAAATGCTAAAATGATAAAATTGTGATTTCTTAATCAATTCCTTATAGTAAGGTACGCTAAAATAACTTTATCAATGCAACTCCTCGAGAGGTTAACGCACAACTAGTATGCCTGGCGTTGATATTTAAAAGATCTTAAAAATGGCCATGCTATCTTTGAAAATAAGCCTTGTTCCTGTTCATAGTGGTAGACAAAAAGATAATGCCATAGATATTTTTTATCTACAAAATGTTTTCACTGCATAGAAATTACCCGTCACATAACATACATAAAAAGGATACTTTATCTTGTGAAGCATGTCACTGTCATACACACCTCTAATGTTGTATAAGACAACGTCACAAATTTGGGTCACAATATTCAGCAACCGATTATCGTTTTCATCAACATTTGACTGAAAATTCAAAATTTTGATTCAACTTCCGTTTTTTCTTGTCTGATTGATATTTTTGTTCATTACATATTTCATCCAATATTTTATTGTGAAAATATCGTATTGGCAGATGTCCAGGACCAGGGTCATGAGAACAAGCGATTTGCATATAAAAATTGTGATAAACTCAAGGCTTTAAATAGGAATATACATGACACACGTTTTCACGATCGGTCGTCAATTTCACGTTTAATATAAAACTAACAATGGAGATTTATTTACCAAACAATCTGTACAATGTATTATTTTACTGAAGGTAACTTTACAGTTTTCACAAACGTCTGTGTATAATTACAAAGTTGTAGTTTTTTTTACTTTTGGTTTGTGGTTTTCCTTAATCATTTGATAAAATACTAGATTACATGGAATTTTGTGTCATATATATGTTTGCATTTTTCATATTTAAGTTTAAAATAGAGCTATCACTAAAGGTGATAAATACATGTACCAGCAACTTAAATTTAAAAGAAAACAAGTGGTCTGAAATAAAATTTGAACTAAAAATATAATTTAGGATGTATCAAAGGTGTACACAAATATTTCAATTTATTGCATTACAAATCAGGATCTTCATACAAAATGGCTTAGTAAGTAACGGTGGCCTCGATCTAGACCCATGGATTCCAAATGCAATACTAGCGGAGTTCTTCATAAGCTTGCTATACACCAAATTTGTTAATAATTTATCATTCCTTACTCATGTTACTGTCCGGAACCATTTTTCTGTTTTCAGTAACGGAGATTTCGACCTTGAACCCAGGGGGTCCAAATGCAATGGCAACCGCACACTTCATAGAAGCATATGATTAACAAGATAAAAATGATAAACAAACTCAACAAGGAAAGTGAAAAACCATTGTTCTATTTTTAATAATGTCGACCCTTGACTCCAGGGGTCCAAATGCGATCACAACCGGGGTTTCCATATTTTGTATCTAAAAAGCAAGTTTAATTACAATATCTCTTTCTTAAGTAATAGAAAGAGCATTGAAATACAAGGCTATATGATTTGTACGGAGTTGCGTAGCCCCGAGTATAAATCAGAGTCGAATGTTTTGATGTTCTTTCTCTTTTGAATCATAGGCACAAATAAAGAAAGCCCGGTTTAAACCGGGTGATGCTTCCCGAATAGGTTTTTGACACAGTAAATTACATCTCTTTTACATTCAAAGTTATGTCCCTGGACAAAGTTCAAAGTGCAATTATTCCAAAATTAGGCAAAGCAGAATAACTGTTCTTTGCACTGGACTTCTAATCAATGAGATCTCCCTACCAAAACGTTTCTTGTTGATACCTCTTATGGTTTCCTAGTTATGTCCTGGACAAAGTTCAAAATGTAAAAATGAACAAAAGGCAATAAATTAAGGCAAGGCAATGTTACGGTTCTTGTGCTCTGCACAGCTACCCATTAAGATCTATATACCTACAAAGTTTCATGTTGATATATCTTACAGCTTTAGAGTTATGTCCCGAACAAGATCTTTCTAAAAGAGGAGATAATTTAAAAAAAAAACGGGAGAAAACGGACTTGTGGTTCTTTTGCACTACACTTCTACCCAAGAAGATTTATCTACCTTAAAAGTTTCATGTTGATATCCCTAATGATTTTGGAGGTATGTTTCGGACAAAGTTCAAAGTGTAAAAATGAACAAAGGGCATTAACTCAAAATTAGGCAAGGCAGAGTTACGGCTTTTGTGCACGGCACATTGACCTTTTGAGATCTATCTACCTACAATATTTTATATTGATATCTTTTATAGTTTTAGAGTAATGTCCCGGACAAGATTTTTCTAAAAGGGGCGATAATTCAAAAACGGGGCAAATAAGAGTTACGGTTCTCCGCCTCATTGCCTCTACCACTGTGTGAATTTGAAACAAATTATCAAGTTTTGCTCCGGACCAGCAACGGAAGGACAGACGGACAAAAGGACAGACGGACAAGGCGGCGACTATATGCTCTCCCTTCAAGGAGCATAAAATTACGTTCCCTGTTGTTACAATATGAAAGCCCAGAAAAAATAAAAAATGAACGAACATCTGAATATTATGCATCTATCCCTATCTCTTTCTCAGTCGTTATGATGTAACCCTCCGAATAAATGATTAAACCCCAAGAAACAAATGCGCCAATCATTGAGCACGCTATGGAGTGCATGTAATTAATATCTCCACTCAAGTTAAGGCACTGTGCATGTTTGTGTATACAATTCAAGTCTGACAAATTTTCAAGACAAAGGTCCCCAAACTATGATACGACTAATGTTATCGTCCCTAAACCATTTTTCAAGTTTTAACAACAGTGACCTTGACCCAGGGAATCAAACAGCAAACGCAACCAGGATATTTATATAAGCTTGATATATAGCAAGATTTATTTACGATAGCTTATTCTTAACTCTAGTAATCGTCCGGAAACCTTTTTTCTTTTTTTAATAACGGTGATATTGACTTGCCCCAGGGGACCAACGCAATTCAAAGCAAGGTCTTTATATATATTATTGCCCAAATTTTAGTAACGATGACCTCGATCCTGACAAAAGGAGGTCCAAATGCAATGCAAGCGGAGGTCTTCATATGAGCTTGCTATATACCAAGGTTGATAAAATCTCATTCCTAATTAGTTTTTGTCCGAAAACCATTTCTTTATAAAGGTGACCTTGACCTCGGGGGTTCCGAATGCAATACCAACTGCAGCCTTCATATAAACTTGCTATACACAAAGTTGTATAACTATATCTCATTCCTAACTCTAGTCATTGTCCGGAGCTTATTTTGCTATTTTGAGTAATGGTGACCTTGATCAAGATCAAAGGGTAGGGGGGTCCAACTGCAAACTCAACGACCGAAGGTCTTTATATAAGCTTACTTAATATCAAGTTTGATCACAACATCTCATACATAACGAGAGTTATTTCCGGTAAGCTCTATCTCAACCTCAAGGAATACAAATGCAGTACTAGCGGAAGTCTTTACAGACTCAATCAAACCGAGTCTGCAATTCTTATGTTATTTTGTTGTGATTAATGCTTCCGATGGATCACTTTGTTTCCAGAATTTTATATCGTCTTGCTATATACCAAGTGTGATTACAATATCTCATTCCTAACCTAAGAAAGTGTCCGGAAACCATTTTTCTATTATAAGTAACCGCGTGTTACAACCGGTTTTGCAAAAAATTTATTGCACCTTGACCTTAAAGCCAGGGGATCCAACTGCTAAATTAACCGGGGTCTTCATATAAGTTTGTTATATACCAAGTTTGATTACATTATCTCATTTCTAATTAAAGTTTTTGTCCGGAAGCCATCACTCTATTTTTATTTATGGTGACCTCTATCTCATTCCTAGGAGGTCTTAATGCAAAACCAGCGGAATTCTTTATATTAGTTTCCTATATACCAATTTTAATTCGTTTAAGGAGACATAATAAATCTATCTAACAATTACAAACATTCAAAGGGAAGTAATTTTCATATAAATCAGAAAAATACTTTGCTTCCTGTTATATGAGGTATTTGCAATTGAAATGAAAAACACACTAAGTTGTCACATGTTTGTCCTACAAAGTTTTACAGTGATTATTTTTTTTTATCTTTTTCATCATGACTGTTTTAATTAATAAAAGAAACACTTTTATAAGTAGTTTGTTGATCTATAATAAAGTAATAATTATTATTTATTTATTTATTTATTTATTTCTGTTTTGGAATATAATATGATTCTTTTAATATTACTGTTAATATGCATACGATAACAAAATTTATAAAGTCTAACGTAAAAACAAGTAAAAAGGACACTGAAAAATAGAAGTTGGCCTTCAATATAAGTATGCTTAAAATTTGGTTTTTACTAAAGTTAAAAGGAAGTATCGCGTCATTTTTATGCTAACATTGCTTTCAGTTTTGTACGTAAATTACATATAAAGTTAACAAGTTTTGTTTTACTTTTTTTATAGAAACTGCTTGTTAGTTGGGTTATTTCTGATTCTACGGGCACAAAGAGAATTTACGTCATATGGCGCCGGAACAGGAAATATCATTTTGGTTAACCTCGGCAAACTTAAAGCATCACGATGTGTGAAAACCATCCCATCTGAGCTAATAAGAGCTATAAACGGTGACTGCATTCTGATCTTTAAGGGAAAAGGGTCAACCAAACGGAAAAATGAAACTTCTTGTAAGTATTTGATTCAATTTACATAAGAAACTTATCTTGCTGCAAAATATACCTTTGAAGGGTCTCCAAATCCTTCAACATCAATGTAAATATTTGCCAAGTTTCTGATTCTGTCTTCCTCTATATACATCCAAATTCCCTTTGTTACGCGTGATGTTTTTGATCCAATCTTAAAAACATCTGCAAAATTGAAGAAAATAGTATAATAGTATAAATGTTCTTTGCCACATAAAGTATTATAATTATAGTGTATTGATAGGCTACCTTGAACCGAACTCATTATTCTTCCGTAATAGCATATACAAGTTAGTTTATTATTATCGTGTATGATGATATGCATGGTCTCTAACATTTCCGCATTTTGCTTTAAGATAACTGTAAAACAATTACAATTTTAGGATGTTTGTGCCTAAGTTCGTTCATATTAATTGTAAATACTGTAGTCGATACATTTAAAGTTAAGTTACACAATAAACGATATAAACAAAACAAAACTATCGTTTTGAAATGGAAAATATCAAAACAGCTCTGTTCCTCATCTTATTATAAAACAGAACCACCTCTTTCTGAGTTTTATTGCACGATTTTAGCATCATGTCTTGGGTTTGATACTTCATAATTTCGAATAATTGTACATGACATTGTATCGTTTTGTCCTCGCAATTGTAGAATTATCATAGTATTATCTGTTTGTTATGTATTATATTTCTTTTAAGCCCAGGATATAACTCACCATTCTCAAGCATGATTAGTTTCATCACCTATTCATTCTAACAGCTTGTTACATTTTCATTTTAGTAACAACTTGCATGCTAGGCCTAATGATTTTTACAAACTTTCCAGACGAGTTATCTCTCTCATGCAAAATCTGCAGAAGTTATGTTTCTGTATTTATACAAAATGTTAAATTTAATATAAAAACACAATGAAAAGACGTTTACAGACACTCATACAAAGTGATTTAATCATGTAAAGTAGTGTATCCATATACCTATACATATACCCATCTCATTTGAATTGCACCTAAATATGGTTTGACCAAAAAACATGACAATCAAGATCAACAAGGAATGGCGGCGTTCAATGATCGCAACTCCCACACGACCCAGCAACAGAGGACCAACGGAAAGGAGCCAAGCAGGACCCAAAGCAAAAACATTGCCATGGCAAAAGTCAAATCATGCAAAAAAAAACATGTTTGGTTAAGGGCATTATTTTAGGACTTTTGAAACAGATACTGTTCTACTGTGAAACAAGTGAAAACAGATTCGACCTAATATTTCTGCTGCCACTGTGTATCGCATTCAACAACAGTTAAGGTGCTATTCGAAATTACATACGCAAAAAATGTAAAAATGGCTATTTTAGCAAACGTCGCACAACATCTGTTGATGAGGTTGTTCGTAAAATATGTGTTATGAATATGTTGGGGAATCCTCCAACGCAACGAGAAATAACAGCTTAGTATTGGGTTTCGTCTAAACTGTGGAAAATGAAAAAACTCTTGAACCACAAATGAGGCTATTTAATTGTCACATCAGTGTTCTTTTTGCCGTGTGGGGCTGTAAAAAGTCTCCCCGTACATTTAATCAAAGATGATATACTTTCGATCCTTGACGATCGTTCGGCACGACATTACTGTTGTGTATACATGTTAAGTGTTATTTTTAGTTTCTTCTATTTTGGCGGGTTTTTTGGGGTTTTTTTTATCTTTGGAGGATCCAGTATTCCCACTTGAATACTGTATAATCATCCTTAAGATATTTTACTTTCTATTTAAATTTTATTTTGACGTCTCGTCTGTGATATGCAGGCGTCATAACCTCAGATCCTCTTTAAGAATTCCATTTTATTCAATTACGCCCATTGTTTCCTCGTTTAGGGATCACATATGCCTTTTGCTTGGGGACCAAATGCCGCTTTTCATGGAATGGCACGGAAGTGTCACGTTAAAGGTTCCTGTATAACCGACGAATACATCTGCGGATGTTTCTAAGTTCAAATTTCACCATTTTCATGTTTCAATGGTGAATTCTGCTAAAGCTGGTGCTAGTGGGCGTGGACGATAGTTTGAACTTGACAGTACCGTCCATTCTGCTGCTTATAACGAACTCAATGGGACATTTAAATATCGTTTGTTATATCCGAAGTTCGCTAGAAGCGAAGTAGCAACATCTTTCACTGACTTGTTAGGATTAGCAAATTTGCCGCGAAAAAGCCATACCTTGTCATTGGTCACCGGTGTGATCGGTACTTTACGACAGCAATAATTTTATGCAGGGTATTTTATTGAACAGTTTATTATGTACATGTATTTGATTAAGACGAAACGAAAATTATCGTATAGCGGTATTTATGTCCTGATCTTTAATTGAGCGCATCCTGATATTTCAATTATAATTGTTTGTTTAAACCGATGAAATTAACGTGTTTTTGTTTGCCATTTGGGACATGAAAAGATGGTTCGCTATAGCCGAAAATTCGTTTTAAGCTAGTAAGTATTAAGCGATGTGTTATAATAGAAATATAAAGAAGGCATTGGCCGGGGATTTCAGATTTAGTTCGCTTTTGACAAAGGGGATCGAGTCTGTTCATGGACGGTACTGTCAAATGCAAACTCCCGCCTACGCCCCTTAGCACCGGCTTAAGCTGAATTCAACGTTTAACATGAACTGGTACAATTTTGAATATTGAAACATCCGCGGATGTGTTCTGGGGGCGTGAGGGATTTTGCACTTATTCATTATGCCTCATTTACAGACTCAATCAAACCGAGTCTGCAATTTTCAAGTAATTTTGTTGTGATAAATGCTTCCGAGGGATCACTTTGTTTCCAGATTTTCATATGGCGGTTATCATGGAACCTTAAATGTGACACGTAGGTGCCATTCAATGAGAAGCGGCATATGGTCCCCAAGTGAAACAAGAGCCGGTTGAACCTGGTGATGCTCCTCGAATAGGTTTTGGACACAGAAGGTATATCTCTTGTAGTGTCAGAGTTATGTCACAGACAAAATAAAGAGAAATAAGACTCCCTACAGAAAACCCAACACGGCAAAATTTAAAATGTTGCAGGCTCGATTTGGTCTCTTTGACACGACGTCTCGATATGGTGATCATTTCTGTGAAATAGTTGTAAAATCCGACTTCAAATAACGAAGCTATGGGCTGGACACGATTTTGCTGCAAGGTCATGCTGTGACCTTGACCTTTAAGGTAGCGACCCAAATGTTACGCGCGACACATTGTCTCAATATGGTGATCATTTGTGTGAAATAGTTGTAAAATCCGACTTCAAATAACGAAGTTATGGGCCCGACACAATTTTGCTGCAAAGTCTTTGTAGGGTGGGGGCTGCGTTCATTGAACGCCGCCTTTCCTTGTCGATCTTGTTTGTCATATTTTGTAGTTTGGTGGTTCCAATATTCCTACTTGAATAATGTTGAAAAAAAAGAAGATAAATACAGAATCCGTAAAGAAAGCCCAACACGGCAAAATTGAAAATGTTGCAGGCTCGGTTTGATTGAGCCTGTTCATGGACAAGCACAACAATAATGTCGTGCTGAATCACCCTTAGGATATGTTGCCTGCTTTTTAAATTTGTCTTTTGACGTCCTATTTGTGATACGCAGGCTTCATAACCTCAGATCCCCTTTCAAAATTCCATTTTATTTAGTTCCGCCCATTGTTTTCTCGTTTAGGGCACACGCATTTTTTTACTTGGGGACCATATGCCGCTTTTCATGGAATGGCACTACCGTGTCACATTGAAGGTTCCATGATAACCACCATATGAACACATCTGCGGATGTTTCAAAATTCTAAATTTTACCAGTTCATGTTAAATGTTGAATTCTGCTTAAGCCGGTGCTAGGGGGCGTGGACGGTAACTTGCAATTTCCAGTACCGTCCATGAACAGGCTCAATTAAACCGAGCCTGCAACATTTTCAATTTTGCCGTGTTGGGCTTTCTTTAGGGATTCTGTATTTATCTATTTTAAACTTTGAAGTTATGGGCTGGACCTAGAAATCATCAAAGCAATCTTCCTGACAAATTTCCAGAATTTTTGGATCAAAACTGCAGCCACTAGAGAGTTAACAAGATTTTTTTATATTTGGCTGCTGTAACCTAGTTTTTGACCGGAGATGACCCATCTTCGAACATGACCTAGAAAACATCAACACAACCTTCATGACAAATTTCCAGAATATTTGCATCAAAACTGCACTAGAGTGTTAACAAGATTTTTCTATTTTTAGCTCTTGTGACCTAGTTTTTGACCGGAGATGACCCATCTTCGAACTTGATCTAGAAATTATCAAACATGATAAACAAGATCAACAAGGAAAGGCGGCGTTCAATGAACGCAACCCCCACCCGACCAGTAACAAGAGCCATGGGCAAGGAGCCCAGGAGGACCCCAAACAAAAACAGGACAGGGCACAAAGCAGAGCACGGGCAGGCAAACAACTAAAGACATGAAAATACAACGTTCTTGACAAATTACAGAAGTTTTAGATTAAAACTGCAACCACTAGAGTGTTAACAAGACTTTTCTATTTTTAGCTCCCGTGACTTAGTTTTTGACCGGAGGTGACCCATCTTCGTAGTTGACCTAGAAATCATCAACACAACCTTTCTGACAAATTTCCAGAATATTTAGATCAAAACTGCAGCTACTAGAGTGCTATCAAGATTTTTCTAATTTTAGCTCCTGTGACCTAGTTTTTAACCAGAGATGCCCATTTTCGAACGTGACCTAGAAATCATCAAAGTAATCTTCCTGACAAATTTCCAGAATATTTGAATCAACACTGCAGCCACTAGAGTTTTCACGAGATTTTCCTATTTTTAGCTCCTGTGACCTAGTTTTTGATCGGAGATGACCCATTTTTGAACCTGATCTAAAAATCATCAAAATAACCTTCCTGACAAATTTCCATTACATTTTGATCAAAACTGCAGCCAGTAGAGTTTAAAGAAGCTTTTTCTATTTTTAGCCACTGTGACCTTTTTATTGACCAGAGAAGACCCATATGCAAACTTGACCTAGAAATAATCAAAACAACCTTCCCGACTGATTTCCAGAATATTTGGATTGAAACTGCAGCCACTGGAGAATTAACAACCTTTTCCTTTTTTCAGCTCCTGTGCCATAGTTTTTTACCCGAGATAACCC